TGTGCGCAATTGACAAACACCGGTCACTCAGTTATGACTGTCCGTTTGCTGGATCCCTGATGGTGTACTGCAAAGGATTGCAGGACCGTAATGCTGGTGCTCTGCTTGATGGTGGCTGCAGATGGCAGTTGCAATGCGACGGAGCACTGGTTGGTTAGTCGCGGTCGCCGCGCCGTGTCGAAAATTGGTCGCGTTCCATGTCACCAGTAGACGAAGCCGAAGACCGTGCCTCGAGGTACCTGGATACGTGGTACGTGCTGAGGCGTCTGTGCAATAACCGAAGTTTAGCCGTTTCAACCACCAGCTTGGACTACAGGCTCGATTGTGCCTGCCATCGTAGGGATTCGCCTGTCTTGTTACCACATGGACACTGTGTAGTGAGCGGAAACACTCTGTCCCATCTATAGGGGCCTCGTCTGTTCGGAGCATGTCTACATAGATGATCCCATTATAATAATCGAGGTGCAGATGGTGTGTCTTGGTGCCGAGATAGGATCCATACCTGCCGAGTTGGAAGGTCTAGTTCTATGTCGTAGCATTCATTTAGACGACGCCGCCCTAGGTTAGCTGCCTGGGGAAGGAATCACCAGCAACCTATATTCCTGCCCCCCAATGTCTGGACCGTCTTCATCGTCAACGACCAAGCCGTCCAGAGCAATGTAATCCAGTCTACACATCCACCACCAAATCGGAATCCTGCGAGGACTTTCTCATCATACATCCATACAATATGTTTCCTCAATCAGCTGGAGGCGATGCCCAGCTGCACGTGTTTCCCCTCAGCCGTGCTTCTGTCGGCACGGTTCAGTCGATATCGCAAGAGCAACATCGCAGCACACACACCTTCAATGTTTCCTTGATACTGAGACACGAGAAACAACTCGTGGGCTCGGCTGCTCCATCGCATAGTCTCCGGGGTATGGCGCCCAACGTTATCTTACTCATACAGTCAGGTACCCGTCAACTGGTGATTCAACCTGGCCGACCTCGCTTCGCGTCGTGGACTGACGGTTAAAGGAACGACTTTATCTAGGAGAGCTTGTGCAAACAGGTGGCCACCCTATACCATACGAGCTTCGTCAGCGGGAGCTGGAGAAGACATTTCGTCTCCGATATGAGCCATCTCAAGTGTGTAGGCCACGTCGTAGACTGAATACTGATAGCTAAGATAAAATATAGGGACAAGTCCACGAAATCAGAGCCGAGTTTGCTGCAAGAAGCGATTACGCGCAAGCGATGCACGTTTTCCAGTGTCTCGGACTACGAGCTTCCATGACGAGGGACGCCTCGTCACCTGTTCATGTCTTAGGTGAACGTACTTCGCCTATGCCCTCGCCTCTAACACGAGTCTTCTCGCCAGCGCCAACACGGTTTGGAGACAAACGTACCGTGTTTGGGGACATGCGTGCCAATCACTCGTTGTCACCTGTATGCAGACCCCAAATTGCCGATTCGTCCCTTCACCGCCACGACACACACCCCCTAAGCGATCTTTCTACCAGACCCCATTATGCAGGCTCTTTTCAGGCATCAGAATCTGTCTCCAATCTCACAACAGGCCATCAAATCCCGTATGATTTGGAGACAAGTTCACACTTTGACCAAGTCGACCACTGTGAAACCTCCAGATTCCTTCCGACACCGAGTTCGCAGCTCGATTCTCAATCCTCGATAAGCTTGAGAGGTCCGAGCCCTTTTTGGTTCTCTGAAAGGACATCCACATACGAAAAGCAACCGTGCGATCACCTGAATAAAGAAAATAACCTGTCATTGCAGAGCCTTCCGTCTGCAAAGTCGACAGCATGGAAAACGCATCAGCCAAGCTCAGCCAGTGACTTTGGATCAATGCTACCACCCCCTCGTGAACTTCCGTTCAAGCGTACTGCGACCACACCAACAGACAGACCTTCAGGGATCGAGGGTGTTGATAAAAAGAAAAAGACCATGAAAACACCCGCTCTCACGTCAACGCTGGCAACGAAGTCTCCAGACTTTGACGCGAGCCAGCTACAGCAGTCTTCCATGAGAGCCTTCTTCAACGACGAAGTGGAAATATCCAACCTCGAGAAAACAAATTCAAGGGACACACCCTTAACCTCCCGACCGAGACAAGCCGCAACGGGCCTCAAGAAGTCAGTTAAACAGGCGGCACCGCTCAGACGGAGTGACAACCTAACAAGCCCTTCAATTTCAACAAGCCGTAGAGCAAGCTCGAAAAACGCACCTCAGAAGGATTTCAACGAGGAACCTAAAAGCAAGAATAGTCTCCCAAAGAACTCGAGGACGAGACGAAGTATGGTATCAAGCAGGTCATCTCCGAGCGGGGATGGGTCACCTGGCGTAACAACCACATTTGCTGTAAGCAAGAGAAAAGCTCTGTCCGCACAACCGAAACCCAGCAAGCAACAAAAGCTCGTGTCAACGAAACAATCTTCGCCGGACGCAATTCAGAAGGCTACTACAGAACCTAAGGTGATTGTGGTGCGCTACCACGACACCAGCACGCAGGCGAGCTTGGTGCCAGAAATTCGTAACCACGCGCCCACCGCTAGTTACCGATCTAAGTCAAATGTCAATGGTCAACACACATGTGTGTACAAAGATTTAAACTCCAGAGAGGTATCTTTATATGTTGATAAGGCTCAGGCCTGTCCCATCAGCGAGCCGATGTCAGAATCCAGTACTCAGACTCACATCGTTGTCCAAGACGCAGGTAGCTACTGCAATATCCGCCGTGTGCATGACCAGGACCAGCAGACCGTATTGTCAGGTAAAGAACTCAATGCACGTCTTGAAATGCAGTCTTCAGTTCAGAAAGGCACCCAGACAGCAGAATACAGATTGGAAGACATTTGTATCGCTTGTAATGCCCACCCACTAATGGTCCAAGCCGAGGTGCAAACGGTGGTGTCCGGTTCCGAGAAGATAGGAGAAAATGACATGAGGGAACCCCGAGCATCGAACACCCGCGCAAAGACGAAACCTTTGTACACAAATGCACAGGCACAAACACTGCATGAAGCCGCAAGCCAGGATGGCGGTGTCTTTGCTGCAGGGCTGCTACTGATTGACCAGGCCCGACACGTCATGCACGACCATGTAGACGATGATCTTGACCGGCTTGAGAGAGGGGAGAACATTGACACGGAGAAATCGATAACGCAGATGCTGTGGAATGTGGAGAATGTGGCACAGGAAGCTATTGATAGCCATGGCTCGCTGCTGCTTCGTTTGCCCTTCAACCAGATGATGATTGACTACATCAAGACACGCGTAGTCGATTTGCCGGGGTTGGCATACTGATTATGGTGTCTTAGGGCTCATTGAGGAACCATATGGCAAGGAAAAAGGTTAAAGACTGAGATACCATTGATAAACTGCTCATTTTAATCGATGCCCCCACAGCTCGGCGACTCTGAAGTAGGCCGTATCAAGCAAAACTCCATTGCTCCTCACGCTTTCATGAACCTGACCATTGAGTATCCAGTTGACATCAAGGTACTACCTGATCCGTAGAACAATCGGCTTTCCAGGTCCCAATCTTGGTACGCAAATTTCGCTTTTCAAGTTTCCTGCATCGAAATACCAAACAACTCACTTCCTGTCTCTGCGCTTATGCATTGGATACTTCGACCCGGCTAGGAAACCAATCTTCAACAACTCCTCGACATTGCGGATGGCTTGCACACTGGCCATGATAGCGGCATGTGGCAACTTTGGAGCCAGCTTGGAAATGTCAAGCTCTTCACGGATGGGATCGAAGACCTCGTCTTTTGTTGGAGGCAAATCGGCGTTGGCATAGTCGCCGGGCCTGTCGGGCTGATCTCTAAGCCAAGCCGAGATAGGCGAGCTGGCGGCCCCGCGGCTGGTGGTCGTAGTCTTCTGCTCTGGCTGGGCGCTGGCAGAGTCGGATCCGCGTCTGGAAACGAGGAGACGTAATCGTTTGCGAGGCCGGCTGACATTTGTGTCAACAACCTTGGCGGGCTGGGCGGACGAGGATGATGGCAAAGTACAGGTCGAGAGGGCATCCGCCTTGCGCTTGTCGGAGGCGATCCTAGCGACGACGGCCGGGGGAGTGCTGAGACCGAGGATATCCGTGCCGCTTGCGTGCGAAGCGAACCGCGACGGGTCGACGTGGACCTTAGTGCTCGAGGTTTCACGGTCCGAAGGTTCGGCCGAGGCCATGACGTACCCGCGGAAATAATTGAGCTTCGCAGTGTCGGCGGAACTCTGAGAGCGTATATAGGGGAGGGGCGGCCTGATGGACGCGGACTCGTCGCTGGCGATGCTTGTAGTTGACGAGCCCGAATCGCTGCACGGCTCATGACCGTCGTGCCTTTCCATGCTGAACGATGCAATGAGGGATGGCTGCTCTATATCGTACACCGCAGAAAACACGTATTCAATGAAACTCAACTTGAGGAGTCAAAGAAAATCAAAGCCAGAAAGGATGAAAGTCAGAGAAGACTGGGAGTTGTACGTATGAAGACGACGTAGACAACCAGACGTGGGAACGGGACGCTCTGTTCGGTTTTGTTGACGAGGGCAGTGCCTTCGCAGATGGCTTTCGGTCGAAGAGCTGCATAAGGAAACCCTAAGATATGACAGGGCATGTTGGTCACGCCTTCCGCTGCACTGAGGTGACTGTTTCCTCTGAAACGGGGCTGCTCTTGACGGCCACCAAGGTGTCAGAGCTGGTATGGCTGGCAGCGGTTTTCCGAATGGGTACGGTGGAGTGGATCACAGGAGGAGGAAGGTTCAGTCAACGCGAGCAATGTCCTGAATTAAACACACCTTGCAAGGTAACAAGCATAACTCAAACCTGACTGACTATTCGGCCCCATGATGAGTACTGCCTCTCAGCCCTCCGGCACAACAAGGTCGACAACAAGCCCACGCCAGACTCCACAGGTGCTATTAGCACTTGGCCACGCCCCATCAGCCTCCCAAACACCTACAACTCACGCTGAAAAACGAACACGCTGACGGGATGAACCATCTCAAGCCTTGCTTTCTCTCGCAGCGCCCTCCGCCTCCGCCTTCGCTTTGTCTTCGGGCGAGAAGGTCAGGCTGACGCTGTTGACGCAGTGTCGCTCGTCAGTCGGCGTGGGGAACCCTTCCCCCTTGAAGACGTGGCCGAGGTGGCCCCCGCAGTTGGTGCAGACAATCTCAGTGCGCGCCATGCCGAATGCGCGGTCCTCGTGGCGGGTGACGGCGCCGGGGAGGCTGTCGAAGTAGGCAGGCCAGCCGCAGCCCGACTTGAACTTGTGGTTGGCCTTGTAGAGGGGTGCAGAGCAGCCGGCGCATGCGTAGACGCCCTCGGAGGGGTAGTGCTTGTCAAACTCGCCGGAGCCGGGGGCCTCGGTGCCCTTCTCGCGGAGGATGCGGAATTGCTCTGGGATGTGTCAGCATGGAGATGGCATATTCGTCGACTGACTGACTAAGGTAAGGGAGGATGAGAGAGATTATTTACCCTTGTTGAGGACGGCGCGCCACTCGTCGCTGGTCCGCTGATCGGGGTAAGACATCTTCTCGGAAGGAGACGAGGAGCTAAAGAACGAGCTGATGAAAGGGATGGGCATGGAAGCGCGTAGAGGTGTGTTGCGAACGCGGAGTGTGGATGTGAGACGTGAGGAGGCCCGAACGCGGGTGAAGCTGGAAACTGTGAAGATGAGGGTCGAGAAGAGGGGAGAGAATCGCATGAGGGGTGGTCTGGAGCGTTTGTTTTATAGAAAGCCTTTCCAACTGCAATATTTGTCTTGAGGCAGAGCAGATTGTATGTTCATGGAGTGAAAGGGAAGAAAAAGGCCATAGACAATTCGTCGATCGCTCACCATTTGACAGTGTTGACGTCTGTTTCGAGGGGCGAGTGTGACAAATCATAGCGGGTCTGACGGGGAAGCTGCAACTCGTCATCGACAAAGTGATGGAGTCGCAGTGCCAGCTGAGGCGCCAGCCACATGCGCTGCCACACTCAGCGGCCGTGAGACGTCTGCCTGGCGACCAAGGTTGTGATCATTTTTACCTGTTCTGGACGTCGTCGAACTGCGCAAATTTAATAATGACAAATTATCAGATATGCTTTCCTCAATGAGCTTTATATCCATTCCCTGCTCTGAACAGCCTCGGACATGACCCTTCGAGGCCATCACATACACACAGCTCATACCAGCCGCGAGCACCTGGGCGCCACCCCACAGTCCTCCAAGCTCCCTCCAGCACCAGAATATAGGTCCTCCTCGGCCAATTTCGCCACCTCAGGCAGAAACGCCTAGCACTTAGCCAGACAAGTCGTCGTGGGGCAGCATCATTCTTAATTCTGGCCCCTTGTCCCTTGTCCCCCCCCTATCCCGCAACGTCCAGGTCGGAATCGGATCAGTGCCCAGCCAGAGGAAGATCCATTTTCAGGCACATCACACAATCCGCCTCGCGGCCACATCTCCTTCCGCTCTTTCCTTTCCACCCCCTCCTTCACGACAAGGCCACCTCCTGCGCTCTCCTCCATTTGGGCCAGACCAAGCACGAACAGCAAGCGATCCTCTCTACCCCGCTGATAACATCTCAACACCGCCCGCCATGTCTCGACGACCTCCCAACCCGGCTGCTGAGCGTGCCGCGAAGAATACGCAGACGATTAAGAGTCTGCTGAAATTGGATTGCAATAAGATATGCGCTGATTGCAAGAGAAACAAGCGTGAGTACTGCATTGCTTTATGCGACCGACGATTGACTAACTGGTTGCTCTCGCAGATCCTCGATGGGCCAGCTGGAACCTCGGCGTCTTCGTTTGCATTCGATGCTCCGGCATCCACAGAGGCATGGGCACCCACATCAGCCGTGTCAAGTCTGTTGACCTCGATTCCTGGACCGATGAGCAACTGCAGAGCATTCTGAGCTGGGGCAACGCGCGCGCGCAGAAATACTGGGAGGCCAAGCTCGCCCCAGGCCACGTACCCTCCGAAGCCAAGATCGAAAACTTTATCCGCACCAAATACGAACTTAAGCGATGGGTCATGGACGGCGGCATACCAGATCCCGCGACTCTCGATGTTGACGGTGACGACGACGTTCCACTGAGCATTGTCAAGGAGAAGCAGGTCGTTGAGAGGAGGGAGTCGGTTCGCAAGGCGTCTGTCGGGAAGTCGGCAGCTCCGAGGAACATCCCTGCCCCGCAGGCCGACTTGATCGGCGGCGACGATCTGCCTCAGAGGGCCAGCTCTGCCGGACCTGGCACCAGCAACGTACCACCCAAGGCGCAGCCGGCCGCCCCTAAGACGACGAGTACTAAGGATTCGCTGCTCGGGTTGGACTTCTTCGGCGAACCTGCAGCACCTCCCCGCCCCGCCAGCACTACCGGTACTGGTGGCGCCGCGGCTGCCAACTCGCGCCCGGACCTGAAGCAATCGATTCTTTCTCTTTACGCCACAGCACCGCGGCCACAAGCTCAGCAGCAGCAGCAGCAGGGCGGACATGCCCAGCAGGGATCTTTCGGTGGCATGGCCTCGCCGACGTTCCAGCAACAAGGATTCGGACAGCAGCAGCAGCAGCAGCAACAACAGTCTTCGCTAGGAGGCATGAACGACGCTTTTGGTAACCTCGGCTTCTCCAACACTACCAGCTCCAAGCCCGCCGCGGCAGACCCTTTCGCCAGTTTTGGCGCTCCCCAAGCCAGCAAACCCGCAAACCAGGCTTCCTCGAACGCTTTCGGTGGGCTGGGTGGTGGCAGCTTCTTCGATTCCAAGCCCTCCGCGCCGGCAGCCTCCTCCCATCAGCAGCAGTCCTCTAACAGCGGCTTTGGCGGCTTTGGGTGGTCGAGCTCGCCCGCACCGCCTACCGCGAACCCTGCTCAATCCAAGCCCGCTCAACCCACCTCATCTATGGGCGACCTTTTCGACCTCTCTTCCCCCGTGTCGAGCTCGACCCCGCCACCCAAGGCGACCTCTCCTCCTGTCAACAGCAATTCTGTTTTCAACCTCTCCGCCCAGCCCAAGCCCTCTCAGCCGTCTCCGGCGCCAGCAGCCGTCTCGCCAGCCATTGCTTCATCCTCCAACTTTTCCGGCTCCGACGTCTGGGGCTCTAGCGCCTGGGGCGCCCCTGAGCCCGCTGCGCCTGCCAAGGCGCCCGAAGCGCCCAAGGCGTCGACCGGCGACTTTGGCGGCTGGGGTGCGCCCAGCAGCGGCTCAGGTGGCCTCGGAGGGTTCTCGGCCAACACGCCCATTGTTCCCGGTGCGTCAGGCGGCTTCAGCACGGCACCCAAGGTGTCGGCTGACGAGGAGTTTGGCGGATGGGCGAGCAGCACGGGCCCGGCAACGGGAAGCGGCAACGGTACGGCGAAGCCGGCGACTGGTGGATTCGGCGGGGGCAGTGATGATTTGTTCTCCAATGTGTGGCAGTAGCTTTGTGGTCTTCCGGCTTTTCAAAAAAGAAGACTCACCAGGCTCAAGGAGGGAGTTGCAGGCTTGATGTGGGCAGGGGAAGACAGTGGTGTGAAGCAGTCCATTGCCCAGGTGAAGTGCAGCCGGCCATGTGCGAATTACGGGTTGGCGAGCGTTTGTCTAGACAAAGCATACAACGAGGAACCTGCAAAAATGACGAAATTCAAACCAAACCCGCTTTGCTACTCCTGGTGCTAGAGGTATTTGTTTTTTTGGAACACGAAAAAAGTGAAGACCCAAACCCCTTAAGTTGCAATCCTAGACTCCGTGCCATGCATGTGTGGGCTCAATCCCACCATTCTCCTTCCGACTATGTGTCGCCCCCTCGTTCTACACGCAGCGACTAAGCCGCAATGCCCCGACCTCGTCATCTTAACATCTTGAACATGCCATCTCGTCCTCCGCTATTCATCTCAAGCCGGCCTCTCGAGTCGCACGTGTCCACAGCACTCACGTATGGGCTCAGAAGAACAGCTTGGATACGTAATATAGGAAGATGAAGACACCAATTATGATGCCCGACAGCTTCAAGATGGCAACCTTGTTCCCGGAGGCGGCCATGCGGCCCATGCGCGAGGCGGATCCCTTGAGGGAGGTGGACATGGAGGAGAACGTGTCGGACTGTGTGTTTCTTGTGTCAGCTGGTCTGAGAGTGTCTAGAGAAGAAGGGGCGGCAGGCAGAATGTGGCAGCGGAGGATTTGCTGTATCCGAGTGTCGCGAGACAAAACCGCGGGGGGGGGAGGGATAGAAGACGCACGGTATTGTCGATGACATCCTGGGCGCGGGCGTTGTCGTAGATGTCAACGGTCACGCCGCGCAGGGCGGAGATCTTGGAAGAGAGCTCGTCGAGGCGTGCGTTGTTCTGACGCTCGCGTTCGTAGGCTTCGGACATGGTGGACGGAGGAGGGGGGGACAGGCGAGGGAAGTGATGCTGATGGCGATGTTTCACGTGGGCCGTGGGCCGTGGTCGGGATGCGACGTCGATCGGCGGTGATGGCTAGTCAGCGGTGGAGAGGATCGAACCGTACGGATGACAGTCGAGGCAGCAGCAGCAGGTGAGCGTGTTTCGTCAGCTGTGTCGTTGATGGGTGGCGCGGTAGGATGTTCGTTCGGTTGGTCTTGTCGTCGGAGGCGGGAGTGAGGTTGCGTGTAGCAGGACTTCGGCTCTTTCGCATATGGAGAACAAGGGGGGGGGGCGAGAGAGTGACGAACCCCAGCCGGAGCAGAAGGTCACAGGGGGGATGGCCTGGGCAGGGGTGGGGGGGGGCCGAGACACGGCGGTCTGGCACTCTCTTGGGTGCCATCTGAGTGACGAGAAGCGAGCACACCAATCGCTACCGACCACCTAAGGTACCTTACTACCTTACCAAAAGTACCTAGGTAAGGTACCTAAGGTAGGTGGAGAGGGCGCATCGTGCGCGGGGAGCGTGGCTCAGCCGTGACACCGGGGCGATGCACCGCCACAACACTCCTTCTTTTCCCCTCAGCGGACTTTTGGGTGCAGCGGTACAGCGGTGTCGGGTGCTCTTTCCCCGCAGAATGATGGGCGGCCTGCTGCCCATAGCTTCCGCCTCTGGAGTCCGTGGGTGCCAGTCTGACGTGACGTTGGGATTATTCCGTAGGTACCTCTGTAAGTACCTAGGTAGATACCTGGCGACCGCGAGCCTCGTCAAATTTCGAGTTCGGGAGAAGCCCGACCTGCCTGCGACGCGCGTGCCGGCCCTCCGGCTTCCTCCTCGATCGAGCTTTACTTTATGTCTCAGCATCTTGCCACGCCTTTGATCAAACCCATCTGGGTTGAGCTGCGCAGCCAAGACTTAGTGCCGCAAACGAGAGGGAACCCAACTGCCCCGACCCCCACTACGTAATCCGACCCGCCATCACTCACTCGCGCCTGCGCCTGCGCCCACCCGATCCTCCTACAACTAACTGGCTATACCTACGACCTAAACTCCACGACACTTCTTCCATCCTCGCTCACCCCGCCCCCCTGTCAGCCTTCTTCCTACCTCCTCCTCCCTCCCCTCCAGCTTCGTCTGCCCTCCTCGACTTAGGATACCTCGTCAAGCCCGGTCACGACTAACCATGGGTCTCAACAACCCCCTCCCGTCGTCCATGGCGTGTATGTTGCATCTCCCGCCCCATAGTCCCCCAAGCCCCAAATTCCCCGGCCATTCCGTAGCTTACCGGCGAAACTCTGTCGACAAGCCGCATACCAGCTCAACTGACTGATCCTTCGGTAGCGGAGTGTAGAAAATGCGGGAAAATCCTGACCTCCTTCATCGACCCGCGGCAAGCCTTTGGTCCCGACAAGATCATCCCACCGTCCGTCCTCGCAAACGCCAAGGTATACACGTCTCTTCGTCGAATTCTCGACTGCTGCCGACCCTCGTCACATCCCGACCGAATTCATCACTACATTTCATGACGACTCGTGCTGACTCTTCCATCTGCAGGGCCTTGCCATCCTCACTGTTCTCAAAGCCGGCTTCCTCGGCTCCGGTCGCTTCGGCAGCGGCCTCGTCGTTGCTCGCCTACCCGATGGCAGCTGGAGCGCACCCAGCGCCATTGCCACGGTCGGCGGCGGCTTTGGCGGCCAGATCGGCTTTGAGCTGACCGACTTTGTCTTCATCCTCAACGACGCCAATGCCGTCAAGACCTTTGCTCAGGCCGGCTCCCTGACCCTTGGCGGCAACGTTTCCCTCGCAGCCGGTCCCGTCGGACGCAATGCCGAGGCTGCCGGTGCTGCCTCGCTGCGCAGCGTCGCCGGCATCTTCTCCTACTCCAAGACAAAGGGTCTCTTTGCCGGTGTCTCTCTCGAGGGCTCTGGTATCATCGAGCGCCGCGACGCCAACGAGAAGCTCTACGGCACCCGCTACACTGCCCAGCAGATCTTGTCTGGTGGCGTTGCGCCGCCGCCCCAGTCCCAGGCTCTCATGACCATTCTCAACGGCCGCGCCTTTTCCGGCCTCGGTCGCAGCGGCTCCGTCGCCGGCAACGACCCCATGTACAATGACTCGCCGGTCTACGACAACAACCACGACGACGTTGTCTGGAACGGCCGTCGCGGTGATGCCATGGGCGAGGGCATCTCGCGCCGCGAAAGCCAATATGGCGACAGCCAGCGCGACGACGGCTTTGGCGGGCCCAAGCGCAGCAGCACTTGGCAGGACGATGTCTATGATCGTCCCTCGGGCGGAGGCGGTGGCAGCTTCGGAGGCGTATCGCGGTCCAACACATTCGCATCCCGTCGCGACGAGGATGACGGCGTCTTTAGCAACAGCAGAACAAACAGCGGCTTCGGCGAGTCCAGGACCGGCCCCGGCCGGCCGACGGCGGCGAAACCCAATTTTGCGCCCAAGCCGGCGCAGCTGCGACAGAACGAGGCCTTGGCCGTCTTCACCTTTGACGCGGACCAGCCGGGCGACCTCGGCTTCAAGAAGGGCGAGGTCATTACTGTGACGAAGAAGACTGACAGCGCAAATGATTGGTGGTACGTTTTTGTCGGTAGCTGACCTGATCGTGGTGTGAACATGCTGACACAAAAGCAGGACTGGTCAGATCGGCGGCAGGACCGGCATCTTTCCCAGCAACTACGTCAAGATGAAGGAGTAGAGCCATGAAGCCAAGAAAGAAATTGTACAGACTGACACAAAGGGCGTGGAAAATTGGACGGCTGCTACAACATACATGTTTGAGTGACATACGAAGGCAAATCCACGAAATCTAGCAAAGGAGGGGAGACATCAGAGGGCGACTCGAGAGGGAGGTGGAGCGGATGGACGGCCTTTTTGCCCTTTTCTTTCTACTTGTTTCTTCATTTCTTCCGCTCATGATGCTCACAGGGGACCAATGATACCCTCTTTACTTCCTTTCCTTGGATTCGCGGTCCTGTCGCTGCTTGATTTACAGGTTTGGAATTCCCTGTTCGCTGGCGCGGTATGGCGTTGCTGGTGGGGTCTTGTTGGTGCTGTTGTGTTGGACATATCACAAATCCGCTTTAGATTATGGTCATTTTGATTTCTGTCGGGAACGGGAATCGCTTTCATGCTGTGTGCTCCAGCATCCCACAGACACGGCATGGTAGCTCTTGATCAACAGTGAATATCCCGCTCTGTATTCCGCCTGGACTTTGCGACACGTAGTGAATCTACCGAGTGCTCCTCCCCTGTGATGCTTCATTCTCACGCATATCTAATAACCGTCGCATCCAATCTTATATCCGTCCCTTGCCAACACCTCTCCCAACATAGTCATATTTTATGAAGATTAAGAGAGAAAGAAGCACTCAATGAAACAACGGCAGGCGCGGCTTTAATCAAGCTCCGTCGGCGCCCAGATGACTTTGCCGGCCTCCTCGTCTTCGTGGAACCAACCCTGCTTCTCCCGGCTCCAGGTCCAGAACTTGTGCGCCGGGTCGTTGACAAAGTCAACATGGCTAGGGATCTGCTCCTCCGGCACAGCCGGGATATAGACTGCCGGCTTGCGTCGCTGCTGTGGGGCCGTATCCGGCGTCATGGCACGATGAAACGGAACCACATGGCCCGGCCGTGCGGCAGACTCGGCACACGCGCGGCGACACCGACCAGGAGCGGAGCCCTGCTGAGGACGGTGCGATTGCTCACTCGTGGCCTGTGTGGATGCCGAGCTTGCAAACTCGGTCCCAGACAAGTTTGTAGTCTGGTTCGTGGCACCTGATGTCGGTGCATGGCTTGGGTTGCGGATTTGCCGTAGTCTGCTGCTTCGACGTGGGTGGGTGGTGGGGCCCGGTTGTTCTTCTTCGGCTGGTGCGCGGGCTTGCTGGGCCATAGTCGCTGTCTTTTGGCCACGTTGACTCGAGTGGGCTTGGGTCCAGCAAATGCGTTTGTTATTGCGGCTGCTGAAGGGACAGAATGCTCAGGAAATGGCAGTATGATCTCGCCAGCCTGTAGACTCCCAGAAAACCAGGTAGAACGTGCGACTGTTTTTGGGGGGCATATTATGAAGCCCCGAGCCAGGATACGACTTCACCTCAGACTCAATATCCTGCCTCTATATACGTTGCGACGATTTGATCACTATGCTCAAATGTGCCGAAATGGCAGTCGAGCAAAGGAAATGGCAGGGCTTTCGATTGCCCCCTTCATGATTGCGCATTCGCCCGGTCTGGCAATTCCCTCGCCCGGAATGCCAGTGCCTATGCCTACCCCATCCTATCAGACAATCTGACTCACAGAAGCCGACCGATGTCTTGGATTTAAGAAGCCTAAGACGCCCTGACTTCCGCAAGCCCTGCAGCCTCATTATGATGCAAAGCTATGAATAGACGAGACGACACTGCCAACGCCATGCATCCTCCTCCACACGACATTTGAGTCCATTTTATCAACAATCATTGTCGGAGGACAGACTGTCACCGTGATGGTGGTTGTCATCAGGAGCCAAGACTAACATCCTGGTCCAAGGTAAGGCACGAGTGCAGCAACCAGATCCAGCTGAGGTCCGACGGCAAGGCTCTGGTGAGGTAGCCGACGGCCACTTGATTCAATATCGCCTCACTCAAGGGTCCCCCGGCTCAACGATTGGTCTCGGTATTGCAACCGATGACGCCCTGAAATATCAACGCAGGTTGCTGACAGGTATTCATTGGAAATGGAAAAATATCAACGCAGCCCGCCATCCCGAAATTCCAATGCGACAACATGCACAGAGTCTTCGTGCCTTCGATCCTTGTTACAGCCGTAATCAATCCGCGTGCGTGATCAGAGCAGTTCTGCTTTAGGAGCGCCACAGTCTTCGAAAAGGCAGGATTCTTTTGCAATTGCATTACAACTTTCTTTACAATATTAAATGATTGTCGACGTGGAACTGTGAATTCGGATGGGTAAAGCAAGTTGTTTCAACCAGTGTCCGTCAGTAGGCAAATGATGCCTAACCCGCTGACCTCCACTGATGTAGGCAATAACCCAAATGTGTCTTGTGGGTGATACTTTTGGGCACGCGTCTCCCTGAGCGGTTTGGTTTGTGTTACACACCATGGCCCAAGAATATATTGAGAGCCGCATAATCTTAATCCGCGATGCTTTCCTTAAGAAACTACCTTCGGCTCAAACTACTTCTGATTCAGGCTCGCCTTCCACGGACAAGTTTGCACTGATGTATGGGCCCTTAACAACATTACCCCTCTGAAATCTTCAGTCAGAACGTATATCGACACCAAAGCTGTTCGTAAGCTCGTAATCCTCATTGCAACAGCTTACAAACCCAGAAAATTCTTCTAACGGAATAAAATCTCTCGAAACCAGTGGGAATACCATCCCCCCACGACATCGACTACGAGTTATTCCATCTGTCAATCGGCATCCTGCCCTTCCGGTCCGACTAGTCAACTTCGTGCCCCCGTTTGTCCCACACAGGTCCCAGGTCAGGGTTGTTGTTCGGTCGTCGATTCATCTTGGCTGTCCTTGGAACCAGAAATACATCAGAAACGGTGCGACAGACTCTGGTTGTTCTTTGGCTCTGTTCTTTTCCATCGTGCGATGCCTTTCGGAGCCACGCGAGGCGTCGGGCCAACACCTTGAAGTGCTGCCATGGCGAACGTCAACCAGGGCCACAGTGATTGCTTCCGCGATCCTGATAACTGCATCCTATGGACTACATCTGGAGTGGCCCTTGGTATGCAAACGCAAGACATTATCAGTGGGCCGATGGTCTCGGGTTGTTCAAATGGAGAACAAAATTCGTTCGATATTGCGTTGATCACATCACGGACCCTTGGAATGGACATAGAGGATATGACCAGTGGAGCACCTCCGTCGCAACTTGGCTTTGAAACCCAGGATACTACCCAAGGACAAGCCGCTGCTGAGGAACGATCATATCCGTTGGAAGCTGAGATGAAAGTCGGCCAATTTTCCGAACCTTTCGAGATAGAAATGGAGGACAAGTACGGGATATTCCATCTCGTGGGCGCAGTTCACACCACATCACCATACACTGCCATAGCAGCGGACCTGACCCGGCTGTATGATATCAACAGCCTTGAGCTGCCGCCGTCTATGGAAGGGAGGGGATATATGACCGGATTCGGGTTCCTGTCCGCGCAGCGGTACTTCTCGACCACGGTCCGCATACTTCACTTCGGGATCCCTGAAACAAATATCAAAGCCATTGCTATGACAGAAGTCCGTTCCGCTTGGTTTTCGCAAAGGCAAATTTACATGGTCATTGGCAGCTCTCTCCGGAAAATGCTGCTCGAAGCCCGCGATGCTGTACCCAGGCCATCTCTGCCTCCCCTGCAACAAGCCGAGTCGGCTCATCGCCTCATCTCCACACGCCCTCGCGTTGTTAGGGACTCCGCTGCTGGCTCTGACCCCCGTGTCTCACCAAGGGCACCTCGACGCCCTGCTCGTGTCGCCACAGGTGTTTCATCCGGTTCGAGGACAGGGCCTCAAAGGACTAGACCTGGACGTCGTTCGCGTAAGCAGCGTTCTTGTGCAGAGGTTATTTGTATTTTTCTAATGGCATAGGATTATAGGCTATCGACACGAAAGGACACAAAGGAGCACCTATTCCAACTTTGAGCAAGTTGGCAGAAGCTCTATGCACCGTGCTGTCTTGCACCCGAATTATTCAACATCTACCCAGTTCACTCCTACCTTGCCGCAACAGCATGGCTCCCAACCATCAGCGTCGCTATCTCGAGCAAGATTGCAGTCACCTCCTCCTCTAATTCTTTCATCCGACACCAGCAGTATGTCGGACCAGTTCCCAGCTATCTTAGACGCTGGGGCTATCATAGCACAACCACCAAGCATCGAGGACTTCATCATTCTCAACAGAGTAGCCTCCGATGCTCACGATCTTCATGAATATCAGGAATGATGTTCCATTTCGATGGGATAGTATCAGTTATGAGTACCAGAGCGTGGCAGTTTGGCGAGATAAACCTTTGTCGCGGGGATCTTAAGGCTTAACATCAGTATTTCTTCTTTGGACAGGGACGTCGCCCTTTTCGCAAATTATCTCATCCCTAGTGTGGATCTACTTCATGAATGACGTTACATTAACCATTTTCTTGTTATTAAGTTTCAGACTGCGGCTTTGTAGTCACAGAAAAACGGCATATATAAAACCTTGAATAAGGAAAAGATAGGGTGCATCTCCACGACCATGAGGCAGCTAACAACAAACCTCAGGCTTTGATCATGGGCGACCTGTTCTTGAGTTTCGGTTTAAAGAGGCCGCCAAAAGAAGATCTTCTAAATGCACAGATTAGCAGTGACCTATACATAACGTAAAGTCTTCCTATCCAGTTACTAGTCAAATTCGCCGGAATACACACTCAACTGTTATCAGGGTTTATAGTGGGTAATATACGTTCCATGCACCATTTACGCGCATCATTGTGTTAGTATTGGTGCGTAGTTATAGAGCAGAGTAAAGAGGTGTTCTATAGGGTCCACAGGTAATCAGAATGTAGGTAGGGGGTCGGAATATACAAAATTCTAGCCCTCTGTAGTCTAGAGGGCCCTCTATAGTCATTATCTATACGTTTCTCGTAATCCCTCAGCCCCTGACCGACCCCTTGATTAGTAGCTCCACAGGGCCACCTGGCATTTCTCGTTCTCCAGCGCTTCCTCTTGCAAAGAGGATTTAGCTACATAATAACTGCCTCCTAAAGGGTGATTTTAAGGGTATGCCAGTAGCATATTGACTATGTAGATAAACGCTAGGTCTCAATGTAGGGGGCTGTGCGGTTAGTCTACTGAAACATCTAGCTTTCGTAGTCACTCAAAGAGTGGTAATCCGATAACAATAACTTAACGTATTAGAAACGGCTGTGCAGTAAGATATAACTACAATCGAACGACACGAGATACAACAGATTTTTGATGTATTCAATTCAATTCCTCAGGACAAAATATGCGGGAACCATCCTCCTCGTTATGAAACCATTGCTGCAGCTCCGGAGACCATGTCCAAAACTTGTGCGCAGGGTGTTCCCGAAAGTCCCTCAGTGCTTGTGGTAATTCCTCTAAAGGCTTTCCGTCGAATTCAGCTTCGTAGTCGATAGCCGCGTGCCCGCAGCTCAGCCCTCTTGGACTGTCGTCAATGTGTTCATCAAATTCGGATGTCTGATCTGCAGGGAACATCCGACCTGGTAATTCAGCCGAATCCGACCCTTCGATTCTCGCCCGGTTGGGCTTTGGATCATGTGAGGATGTGTCCAACTGAGGCCCGACCTCAGTACTTTCTCTTGGAATTTCAAGCAGGACATCAGAGCCTTGAGAGCTGGTCGTATTTCCTGTGCCTGGCACAAAGTTGGAGTTCCTTGAGACAACACTTGTGCAACCTTCTCCTAATGCTCTATCTGACCAAAGGGCATCGTGGCTTATGTGTGAGGCCTCTTGTTGGTTTTGCAACTCAAAAGAAACCCCTGCCTCTTTCACACCGACCAGCCGTGGAGTGTCCGAATGTTCGAATCGTTGGGGTCTCGAAAGTACTCCGAGGTTGATTGCATTCCCAAGGTTCAGCCCAAAGTCTAACGGCCGGGATATTTCTTTCTCAAGAATGACTCGATTGTTGTCCGCATTCTTCTTCAAGGCACAACTTCCGTGCTGATTCCAAGGCCATGGCTTCCGGGCTCTCGTGCTAATTGATGATCTACGGCCAAACTGGTGATGGTTTTTGCTCGTACAATGACGTCGATCGAATCCTCGAGATTTACATGTACGATATTGTGTTGACATTTCAGCCTTCATATATTGATCTTAATACCAGAATGACAAGTTGGAACGGAAGATACCTTACGAATTGGTTTATTTTTCATGCAGCATCCGAGTGATAACTTCAACAGCATTGAAAGAACAATGGTCGGTGGGCGGATGTGAGTCCCCTTCATCGATTCGTGCCCATGACCTTGTTCAGGAGGCATTGTTTTCTTATGTGGGAAGGAACCTCGACTATGCCATGCCATCTTTGGCGGGAGCTCGATCAAGCGATGACAATCTAGACTATCTGACGTCGATCCGCCCTAAAGCTCGAACCGGCGCATATGATTTCACAAACGAAAACGGTGCATGTGAGGCCGGCATGGGGCTTGTTGTGTCACCGACCTTTCGTGACATTGGACAGAGTGTAATTCCAAAGGCGGCGCAATTACACTTCGAGGCACAGCACGGGTGTTGGTAAAGATACTCCTCGATTGGATTGGGAAGCTGCTGTAACATACTAGGTAGGCTAGTGACTTCCTCATGGAGCAGAGCCTGCAGTAGTGCTCTGGCGTAGGTACGACATGTCAGCTTTTATCCAACGAATCAATGGCCATCAACATGAATTACAATTACAATTCCCAAAATTACCGACGAAGGCTGCCGGGTGCCTAATGTTGGGCCGCCACTCATCGAATCTACATTCTCGAGATCCAGATTGCTGTCATTCTTAGCACTCTCGTGCGCTTGAGGATCGTGGTCAAGATTGAGACGTCAATGCTAAACCACTCTCGAGAGAGCTTGTCTCGTGACTGAGTCTAGGAAAAACTACTCTTTGAGCAGCCAGTAGTGTCACAGATGCTGTGTGTGGCAGCCGACGCATGAGGTTTCACTGACCCTCAGCTCATTTATGGAAGCCACTTCACATGGTTCGCGGACGACGGTACGCAAACGAGCCGCACTCGCTGCCCACACGCCCCCTTCCTCCAAGTTGTGTTCACAGGCTTTTTTGAGGCTGGGCTGGCAATGAGTGTAAGTCGAGTGTGGAATGAAATTACGATCAGTATTTCCTACCAATCTGGCGCCAGAAGATGCTCCTGTGAACAGTTACGGATCGGATGTGCCTTGGCCGGGTAGCCTCATGTCTAGGTAGGCACCTTTTTTACTTAATCTGACCCCTTCATAACCGAAGAGGTACACACTACTATCATCTTTCTTACCTTTCCATTGTCTCCCCGATCATTTCTTTCTTTGTGGCCTCTGCCAGGCTACCCTTTTCTGCAACAGCCTGGCCCTTCGCCCTAGGCTGTTCGGTGCGCCAACTCATTTTGTCTGTATCACCCCCTTGCTCAGTAAGGAACTCCAGCCTTATTTTGAGAAAGCTGCGTCTCATCGGCCCATATTCATCACGTGGGGCTACTCAGCTCCCGCGACTGGCCAGGCACTCATGGCATGGCGCTGTCTGTGTCTATGAACTCCGAGTACTCGAAAGCACAGGGCCATCACTTATTCATGGAGGCCCCGCTGATAGAAGCCAGAGGGAACCTTCATACTCACTTCTTCGATTTCAGCCCTACTCGCTGGGCTTCTGAAAATGGCAACTACCCGAGCGAATGCGCTCCTTTGAAGGGAAAAGGAATATCTACAGCGTACTTGATGTATGTTGGTAATCCTAAAGGACCCTTGGTAAGAGCTCGTGTGGGGATATGTGATACCCTCGAACAGTCTACAATTTCAAAGTCCTTCTGCCGTCATCATGGTTTAAGCTACGTACCACCCAAACCAGGCGCAAGACGTCAGCTAAAGACGCCATACGGGACGATCGACGCGGATTGCTTCGTCAGAGGTCTGAAGATAAGTGCTAGGCATCTTGGAATCTCACCGGACAGTTCGCTATACAAAGGCTTGGTACTACCTTTCGACATGAAGGACTTTGATATGATCCTCGGCAAGACTGAACTCGAAACACTCTCTCGCCGCCATCACGAGTTTGGGAATCGTCGTGTCTGCCAAAAGCTTGCCTGTATCACCCAAACATCATTTGATCTTGATCGGGAGGTGTGGCATTCGCCCCACGATACGAGAGGTTAGTGCTCGTCTCCTCTACGCAGGCTTTTTTCTTCTGACCACCGTCTTTGCAACTGCTAGAGATGAGCGGAGCTCACATCATGCACCGCAACGACAACTCACAAACACGGCTTTCCTCAAGCATTGATATGACTGGGCAACATTCGGATATAAAATTTGGCGTCCATCGGATCCCGTCAACTTCGGCGGTGATGTTGGGATCAGGGGTCCAGCCAAACGTGACGCCACAAAACCTTTACCCTCCGGGTTTTGACTACGGAGCAAGCGTTCCAGGCTCAGACCTTGATTGGGGCAACATTGGCTCACAGCTATTTTCTGACCAATTCCTTTCGCAAAACCAAGGGCTCGCAATTTTTCAGAACCAACAAGACCAATGGATGCATACCGGGCAACCGGACCGCAGAGATATTCTGAGATATTCCGGCTCAGGGGCCTTGGATCAAGACACACAATCGAGCTATGCGCCTTCTATGGCTTGGTCTGCAGCCGGTACTTCGTCGCATCCCACTTCGGAATCATCCTTCGACTCATTACAAACCCAATCGGCTACGGTTGAATACATTCCGAACACATCTATCGTCAGTCAATCTATGACAGTGGATTATCCACATGATGTGTATAACCACAGCGATCACCAAGGTTTCCCGTTCGGTGGCTCATTTGCCTCTGCACACGCGGGATTCAACAGTCAAAACGACGTCGTTTTCAATGAAACTCCCGACACTCCCAAGACATCATGGTATTCCATGAACCAACATCCAGGGACAGTGCCCAGTCAGAACATCGAACACGTTAATACTTTCGATCCGGGCAGAGAGCGGACATACTCAGCTCCTGGTCCTGGATGTGATTCTTAGCAGTCCCATTGCTGCGAAACAACGGTATCACGGCGGCACCTAACCTGCCACCAAGCAATTGGCACACGGGATCCCCCGGAGCCATCGAGCCGGGCTTGTCCTGTGCTCGAACGCTCTGCTTGGTCGTTTAAGCATCAACCGTGCTTTACATCGGCCATTATTCATACGTTTAAAAGAGTGGATATAAGTCGTATCCGCTGGCTCTGATCCTGAATGTCTGGCCTCACATTGCGGGTCTCGACTATCATACGTTTGCTCGCTTTACCGCCCCTTTCCTTGTTACCCAAGTTGGAAGTTGGCTAAATAGCTTGCCTGCGCCGGCTTTCACGTTTTCATTTGTTTTCTTTTCTTCTTTTGGTTCGGGTATCATTTCTACACTCCTTTGAAGGTTTCGGGTAGGCCGAGGTTTAATGACTTGTGTATTTGTGACGATTGTGTAGCACTGTCGTTCGAACAGGGCTAGGAGCAATGATCGAAACGTGATGACTGTGGAAAGAGGCTTGTTAGCAAGCCGGCTCTGGGTGTACTGGATGTATCAGGGGGCCCTAAGGGCGGCGAAGATCGACAACACCGCTGGATTTCTATCATGTCAAGGTCTCAGCAGTACAGTAAGAGATGAATGAAATATACGCATTACGTTCAGTATTTCCAGTCCAGCAAGTTGCCCAGTGAAATCTGAATGGAAGTCAACAACGCGCTCCTGGATTTCAACTTGATTAATGCAAGCGCAGGCTCGATGCGGTGGGAGGCAAGTTAGTGGGGATACTAAGTCGTGTGCTCCCTTGCTTTCAACAAACACCGCAGAATCGTTTGCGGCGGTAGATTCATTGATTGTGGCAAGGTTGGGGGCGCTAAGAATGCATGGCACTCCTAATGCATCCTTCAACTCGCGAAATACTTGCGGAAGAGAGTACCGGGAGAGTGGACCGACATCAAGTCGGAGACCATCAATGGGCGGCCTGATTCACCTGCACGTACGGTTCGATTAGGAAAACTGCGCAAATGGTGAGGAACAATATATATCACAGACGAAGAACGTCTAGAAAGCTTGGATATTTTGGGCGATGCCCAGCAAGTGGTTGGAGGTTCCATCATTGATGAGCAAGAGTAGAGGAGCTTTCCGGTCTCGGACTCCCGTAAAGAAAAGGTACAAGCAACACCAAACGGGGAGATTGAAATGCATCTCTCGTGAGAGCCCATGTGTACATCTAGACCTTGTAGAAGCAGAAGGCAATATAGAAGCTCGCAGCTTCCTGCTCGTCTGGCGAAACCAGGAGGTCACCGCCGCCGCGCTCCCTCACACCCATCCTCTCACTCAATGGACCGAGCGTGGGGTCATCCTTCTCACTGTTCCAGACATCCATGAAGTTTTTCTGGTACTGCAGCTCGAGGTTGAAATCTTCGGCCAGAGCACGGAACGCCTCCCACGGCACGACGTACTCGGGAACCTCCTCCACGGCTTCGTCGAGGAAGAAGTTGTACTTCCAGCCGAACGCAGGACGGAAAATACCGTCTTCGGGGGTCTTGCCGGGAAATCGGACACGGTAGATACTGTTGCCCCATTCGGCGGTCTCCTCAGCCTCACCCTCCTCCAATTCACCGTCCTCGGCCTCGGCGGGTGGCTCGGGGTTCTCTTCCTTCAGCCTCTTCTTCTCCTTCATTCGTTCGTTGAATTTCCGTACATGCTCCCCCAGAACGTCCGAGTTGGGAATGCATCCAACGAGACGGCCTCCCTTCTTCAGCGCTCCGGCTACGTTGCGTAGCATCGTTCGAGCCTTCTCCTCACTTTCAAAGGCGTAGTGCATGCAGAACATCATGCTCACGACGTCGAAGCCGCGACGGTTGATCGGGCCGGGTTCGAAACCGACCTGGCGGACGACGTCAATGTCCTCAATGGATTCGCCGTAGCAGTCTTTGACATGGAACTGGCAGTCGAAGATGCGGGGAGGGGGCCGCCTATGGCCACCCCTGCCACCACGTCCGCCTCCGCCACGACTGCTCATCTGACGATAGCGCTCCCTCGCCTGGTCGATACTGACATCGGCGGGGTCAAGACCAACGTAGAGCTGCACGGGCTGAGGTGCCTGTTGCCACTTGCCCAAGTCGCCGCCTTTGCCGCAACCAATGTCGAGAACGAGCAGCTCGTGGCCGCCCGAGCGCCCTTGTTCGCGGGATGCAGGAGTATAGTCCTCGTCAGGCGAGAACTTCTGAATGATGCAGCTCTTGACCCAATTGTTGAAAGATCGGAGGCCCTTGATCTTACTGTCGGTCCTCCTCCAATCGCGCCCTCGTTCGGGGACGCTGTTGTAATGCTGTGTCACGACATCGTTGATGCCTCGTTGACGGGGTTCGAGAGGTGCAGCAGAGGCGGCAGCTTCGAGAGCGCGATCTCTGTCGAGGGCTCGCTGGCGGATGGCCTCTCGCTCGGCTTCGGAGATGCGCGCGCGCGCGCCAGGGCGCTTCTGCTTGCGGGGTTGGTGCTCGTTTGGCGACATGGCTCGGCGTTTAGCGGGCTGTAGCTCCTTCGCGTTGTAAGGTTGCGGAAGTTCTTCTGTGTTGTCTGCCTTTCGTTTTCTGGGGGGGTCGTATGGCTGGGGATTTTCCTCGTAGCCGTATCGATCGTCGGCCATGATGAGATGATAGGAAGGATTCGAGCGAGATTCTTAGTGGTGGAAGGGTTGGAGTGACGCAAAAGGAGAGGTAAAAGTCTTGTTCGTGACAATGGTTTTTGAGTGAATAGTCAGGGTAGGCATGAGGTAGGTAGGAAGTAGTCACGAAGAAGGGTCGAGGTCGAGCTCTGTCACTAGCTTCAAACGGACAAGGCAGGGATGAAGAAAGTCAGATCCACTGCACTATATGCTGTAAAGGTGCACCGTAGAATTCCACCTTTGAACTACGGCAGGCACACACACTACACTAATGGGCAAGTACGTGTTGCGCTGGAGCCTCACACACCTTACAGCAGGACCAGGGCAGCTGGCCAATCACATCACCCCAACACTCACATCGGCACCTTGCACCTTCGAAGTGTATCTGTGACGATCGAAAGCTCCAAAGCTGCAATCATCAACTCCAACTTCAAACCCGCCAACGTCACCCTCCTTACCCCACGACCATCTCCTTCCCAGCTCTTGTTGCCATTACTTTGCGATCAACACATCTGCATCAGAGAACTCGTCACATCCGCCACTATGGGTTCCGAACCGCAGTACGCAAAGTGGCCGCTCCTCCCTCTCTCCCAGCATGTCTTCACCCTCACCAACCCCTACGCCTCCAAGTCAGTCCAGCAGGCCGCTGTCAAGGTCCTCCAAGATGCCATCGCCGAGCACAAGATGGCGCCCTTCTACCGATTCCTCGCACACCCGCTCGAGGGCATCCTCAACACTGTCGGCGAGGGGTCGAGCCAGTCCGTTCCTGGCAAGCCCCCCAGCCGCAAGTCCAGTCTCGTCGGCATGATCGCCACAAAGAGCCAGACCACCATCAACCTGCCGTGGGATGAAGATCTGTACAAGCAGTTGAAATCAGAGAACGACGCCGAGCTCGAGGGCATTCAGAAAGAGGAGGACGAGGCGGTGGAGCAGGCTGGCGACACCGAGGTCCAGGCCGCGCGAGGAAAGAGGGCTGAATTCTGGGCGCGGGTTGGCGACAAGGTGGGTGCCTGCACCATTCGGATTGCGAGGTTGGCGTTGCGAGCGAGCTAACATGCGTGGCACAGGACCGCGCCATCACGGCATACGAAGACGTCTTTGAGAAGACAGGCATCCTCGGCACCAAAATCGATCTCGTTCTCGCCATTGTCCGCATGGGCCTCTTCTACGGTGACAAGCTCCTGACGAAGAAGCACATCGAGCGTGCCAAGGCGCTCGTCGAGTCGGGCGGTGACTGGGACCGTCGCAACCGTCTCAAGGCCTACGAAGGCCTCCACCTCCTGACGATCCGCTCGTACGCTGCCGCGGCGCCTCTCCTCCTCGACTCCCTCTCCACCTTCACCAGCTACGAGCTCTGCACGTACTCGTCCCTCGTCGTCTACTCTGTGCTCGCCGGTTCCGTCTCGCTGAAACGCGTCGACTTCAAGAGCAAGGTCGTGGACGCCCCCGAGATCAAGGCCATCCTCGGCGACGGCGAGGACAAGATGCTCGCCCTCTCGGGCGCCCTCAGCGCCGGCCCCGGCGCCGATGACTCGAGCTCGGCGGAGGAGGGCTCGCCCTCGGTCAAGAAGGGTGCCAAGACAGCGGTAAACCTGACGACACTCGGCTCCAGCACCGAGCAGCCCGATGCCGAGATGGCCATCGACTTCTCGCCCCTCGCCCAGCTCGTCACGAGCCTGTATAACGGCAGCTACAAGTTCTTCTTCCAGGCCCTCGCCCAGGTCGAGGAGTCCTTCCTCGCCCAGGACCGCTACCTGCACGAGCACAAGCAGTGGTTCGTGCGCGAGATGCGCCTGCGCGCCTACCAGCAGCTGCTGCAGAGCTACCGCGTCGTCGGCCTCGACACCATGGCCACAGACTTTGGCGTCACGGTCGATTTCCTCGATCGGTATGTTCCCCTCCCCTCTCCAAGGCACACACGGCAGTGCCGTGCCGACAGGCAGCAAGAGGTTTCACATTGACTGACATGTTTGCAGTGACCTCGCCCGCTTCATCGCCGCCGGCCGCATCCCCTGCACGATCGACCGCGTCTCCGGCAAGGGCGTCATCGAGACGAACCGACCCGACGACAAGAACAAGCAGTACCAGGACGTCGTCCGCCAAGGTGACCAGCTTATTACCAAGCTGCAAAAGTACGGCCAGGCTGTGCGCCTCAGGGGAAGCGAGAGGGCGTAGACGAGAAGGGTGCCGCAGGCGGGGGATGAATTTGTGTGCGATTATCCTGTATGATAGCGATACCTCACAATAGACCAACCAGATGGAGATGATGGGCTGCGTGGTGACATGGGACAAGCGAAGAGATGTGACACTCGCGGTCATTTCACGCATTCACATGAAGGTATTGAATCGCATGCCCCAAAAAAAAATGCTCTATGCAACGCTCTGGATGCCATGGCTGCTAACCAACCCCCGTGGCCTCTTTCTCTTTTTTCCTCCGCCGCAATCTCTCTCAAGTCAAAGAAAAGAAAAAGTCTTCGATTCATCAGTGTTCCTTCCACTGTCTTTTCAAGCCTTTGGTCATTGCTAATCATGCGTGCACTTGACTATAGTGTATACAGTTTATGCATGCACTTCAACGGAACTCGTCCATGAACTTCTTGTGAAAGTCGACAATGCGACCGACCCACTCGGTCCCCGGCGCCAGGAAGGTGGTGCGGAAGTGCAGGGTGCCCTCCTTCTGGCCAAAGCCGCTGCCGGGCACGACGCAGATGCCCGTGGCCTCGAGCAGGCGCAGACAGTAGAACTCGTCGGCCTTGCGGCCCTCCTTGGCGGCGGCCTCGGCGGCGCGCGCGGGCAGCCGGATGGTGGGGAAGAGGTACATGCTGCCCTGGGGCGCGCCGCACTCGACGCCTTCCATGTCAGCAAAGGCCTTGTGGAGGGCGACGGCGCGCTCGCGCAAGCCGTTGAAGATGCGGCTGTACTCGCGGTCGTAGAGCTCGTACGAGGGCTCGCCGGCAACGGGGGGCCGGACCATGAGCTCGACCATGCACTGGCCGACGACGGGGGCGCAGAGGGTGATGGAGACAAACTTGTAAATCTCGGCCTCGACCTCAGGGGCGAAGCCGACGAGCTCAAAGTAGCCGCCGCGGTGGCCGCACTCGCCGACCATGCCCTTGGAGACGGAGTGCAGGGACGCGAGCTCTTGGTGGTCGAACTTGCCGTCCTTGTTTTCCGACTGCAGGGCGCGCAGCACCTGCTTGAACGAGTAGAAGCGGCCCTCGAAGACGTTGGTCTGGTAGACCTCGTCGGCGAGCACGACAAGGTTCTCCTCGCGCGCAAAGTCGAGAATGGCGCGGATGTTGTCCTCGGGCAGCGAGGCGCCGGTGGGGTTGCCAGGGTTGATGACGACGAGGGCGCGGACGTCGGTGCCGGCCTCCTTGGCCTTGGCGTGTGCGGTGCGGATTGTGTCGAGGTCGGTACCCCAGCCCGCGGCCTCGTCGAGATAGTACGGCACGCAGGTGGCATTGAGGACGGCGAGAGAGGCGGTGTAGAGGGGGTATTGGGGGATGGGGACGAGGACGCCCGTCTTGGGGCCGGCGCAGATGACGTTGAGCAGAGTGTTGACGCCCGAGGATGCGCCGCCAGAGAGGTAGATCTTGGAGGGGTCGGCAGGGAAGCCATCGCGACCTAGAGAAGGATTGTTAGAACGAAATGTTGCTGTTGGCAGGGCACAGAGAGGGTTCGGTTGAAGGGTTCGGTTGTGACTCACGCTCAATGAACTTGGCGATGCTCTCCTTGATCGCAGGCACGCCGGCACTTGCACTGTAGGCGCCCACAGAGCCGACCTTGCTCAGCAACCATTCGGCACGCTCAATGACGTCGGTCTTGTAGCCCAGCTGGTTCGTGAGAACGTCCTTGTGCTCGAGCAGCAGGGGGTTCTCCATGAGACTCAGGACCTGTCGGAAGAAGGTGATGGGCTTCTGGTCGAGCTGCTGCGGGTTGCCAATGTTGGCGGAGATAACCTGGTCGAAAGGAAGGTCCTTGTCGCCCTTGGCGAGCTTCGCTCGGTATTCCTCGGACTTGACGGCAAGCTCGCCGCGGACAGCATACTGTGCGGCGACGACATTGGGGTTGATGTTTTGCGCGTTCAGGCGCGGACCGGGCTTTGTGGACATGATGCGTCGCTGCTGTCGGAAAGGTTGCTGCTGCTTGCTGTAACTGTGACTCTCGAACGGAAGCGTCGAGAGAGATTGGTGGTGGTGAGCTCGGCGTGGCGGGGCAAGCTGTGTTGAAGATCGCGGGGTATCTAGAGAGCGTCGCAAATTCAAGTTAACGGGCTGACTCGAACAGACCGCCTGCGGATCCGCTTTATTTGTATGCTAGGAGAGCAGAGACGGAGCACTTTGTAGGTAATAGTGGAGGTGAATCGGAAACATATGGCCACACTAATGGCTGTTACGTTGCTGAGACGGGTGAATCAGGGTGCAAGAAAGCCTTCCCGGCATAGCAAAGTCGAAGTGCAATCATCGAGGATGGGGGACGACGTGGCGGACAGCATGGGTTTTTGAGGGGGCATGGGGAATCTTTGTCAGGAACAAGCTTCACTTGGGACTCTAGACAAGGTCCAACCAAGCCATGACACTCGACCGTGGGCAACGTGAACAGCAAACATGTCACCCACGAAACCGACGGGGCGGGTGTGGGCGGGATGATCAGCGCACTATTCCCGTCGTGTCGTCTGATGACCCGTTCTCCCACAGCACCTGAAGCACTGCACCTGATGCGAGTAGGCAACAATGTTGGCAGTCAGGTAGAAAGCCTGGTCATGGCAAGACACGGCCCTGTTGGGCTTGGGACGCGGGATGCGGCGTCGACACTGGTCAACCGGCCTGATCCGCGGTATCTGCTCGTCATGGATCAGGGTAGTCCAGTTTCTGAGCTGTGCCAAAACAGCCTCCTTCGAGCGATGGTAACCGGGCAGCCGGCAGGCGGTCTGCCGCGTGTTTGGTCCGACGGGTCTTTGGTCTGGAGCTACCTCGCTGACTTGGATCCCTGCCCCAAGATCAAGCTCCGGTTTCGGGGGGCAGCCGGGGAGAGTTTCGAGGCGGCGAGGGTCGTGGATAGGCGTCGTTTGGGGCCACGTTTGGGGGTACACATGTTTGGGGGTTACAGGCGAACAAGGCGAAAGCTTGAGTCATAGCTTTCTTTCTCTCAATACACAGCTTGCTGATTGCCAGGAGCCCCCAAAGCGCAGGGCTTTGTGACTTGATCTGGCCTGTGGTCTGTGGTCGATGGATTCGATGGAAGCGATAAGTCAATTGTGCTAGCTCGACGTGATAGCTCACTCGAGATAAAAACGTGGAGTCGGCGTATGAGGGGTCTGCGTACGAAGGGTCGACGTGCGAAGGGCGGGCGGGGGGGGGGTTGTTTGCTCGATCAATGTCGACAGGTGCTCAAACGTAAGAGAAAGAAAGTGGGGAGCTTCACCTTGCAGATGCGAGTGTGCCAGACACAGCGATCTGCGACTGGCCGCCAGTCTGACATGGCCAGCAAAGGCAACGCCTGGATCGTGTCGCGGCCGCACAAGCGTGGCGAGGGACTGACGAGTCGCGGACGACGACACGGTCGCCATGACGGATGCAGGCGGTCGAGTCGATTGGATGCGTCGGGGGGGCAGATGCGTGTCGCAAGGCAAAGGCGAGAGAGAAGAGTGGTAGTGGGCAAAGAGAAGAGAAGGGCGAACGCCTGATCTCTTATTGCGGGCTGCTGCGACACACACACACAGGTCTCTCCTCACCGATCCTTTTTCTCTGTTGAGGCCCAGACCAAAACGGAACAGAGCACACCACGATGAATTAGGGTCCAGGTCGGTCAGAAAAGTCCCGCCGGCCACGAGGTACTAGGGGGTCGACGAGAGTCAGGCTGGTCTGGCAAGGAGGGGGCCTGTGGTCGAGAAGAGAGGTTCCCCCCAGTCCGTTTGATAAGAAACGTCTATAAGCGCGATAGACACGGAGCGGGCAACGGCGAGGCTCTATCACGCAAATGGAAGGCGGGGCCAGCCGTGTAACTGTCGCTGCGGGTTTCGGTCTGTTATGGGACTGAAAATAGCAGTAGGGCAATTGGTCGTGATGATCCAGACGTGGAATTTTTATTCCAAGGTTTGGTCTAAGGTCAGGTACAGAGGCAGCTTCACCTTGATGACCGAACGATCCGATCCTTTTTAGAGCTTTGGGGGAGCAGCTCATCATTTTAGCAACCACTCAAGAAAGACGTGATTAGAGCGACAGGCACGTACCGGCTGCAGCTCCACTTCTTGGCGATTCCTCCACAGGTTCACAGCTGCCAGCAGCTGCCTCGCCATGAGCATCGGCCCGTCCTTCCTCCCGTCGAATCTCGAATCCAAAAACTTCCCGATACCGAGCGACGTCGACGCCATTGAACTCCATCGTACGCCGGAGCGCACGCTCAATTCCTCACGACTCCGAACCAGCGCCAACCACCCCCACGTCCAACAAGACCAGCAAGATGGCGAAGAAGAGTAAGGCATCATGGTTTCCCCTCCTCGTCCAGCGATCGGAAGCAAAGACTGCGACCAAAGGCTAACGTACGCGCCCGCCCGACACAGCCAAGGCCCGAGTCATCACCGTCCGCCTCCTGTCCATGGCCATGACGGGCTTCTTCTACACATTCAACCGCGCCCGCACCGCCTCACCGATGAGCATGCTCAAATACGATCCCATCAGTACGTCTGCCATTGCTCCTCCTCTGCGTTGCCCGTCATGGGTCCATCGCTCGCATAGCCTCCCGACACAAGCGTGTTTGCAACGACGAGCCTCTCCCGTCCGGTCGAACGGCCTGCTTTTCAACATTCAACGCTAATTACAACACTACAGTCAGGAGGAAAGTTCTCTTCCTCGAGCAGAAGCGAAAAGGCAGGTAGATGCGCCCGAGCCTTCAACGTCGAGACCAGTATTTACAGATGTACCAACAATGACACGATAACACGGGGCGCTCGCCCCTATCTCCCACGACTCTCAAGTCATGCGTGAAGAGGGAAGAACGAGACGATGTACCAACAATACCAGTTCTTCAAGGAATACTTTTTCTAGAGGAAGAGGAACAAATGGATTACAATTGATAGAATATTCGCATGAGAATCGCTACCTCGTGGCATACAATAAGCCGACCTCCACATCGTCCCAAAATTTGGCTGACCTCTGCGTCCAATCTGCTTCGGGGGGAAATAATGATAGCAAGTATAGAGAAATTTCGGGGCATGCCGCCCGGCAACTCGTGTCTTGTTGAGATGCCTACTTACGCAGCGCTTCTGTGCCGCCGAAATATGTCCATGATACAATGGCAGCTTCAGCCGTCTAAAAAACGGCCATCGTCTCTTTGACAGGATTCAGCTTGGAATATGTCTTTGTCACCTTTCTCGGACGATCACGCTGCTCTGTTGGACACAACTTTGGCCCCGCTGTCGCGCCAGAGGTGCCGGGTTTGGTCGAAAAGTGACGGGAGACCTCTTCTGCTTCCGTCACATCTTCGATGTCATCGTCCACCCGCGGTTTCTTGCTTTCTGTGACGCTTTCGAACTGTCCTGGCCGCTTGCCTTTGATTGCCTGCAAGCTCGGGCCTGGGGCTTGCAGCTCACGCCGCTGACGTTCTATGGGACTAAATAGGCCAGACTCTCGGAATATTGCGTGGGGGCCCAGTACGCTGCTTTGGAGCGACCTTGTCACGGCACGATTGTTAGCGACATAGTCAAAAGTCCTGACGTGCCCGACCACCGGCTGGTCATATGCCCTGAGGCCTGAGGGGAGCCCGTTTTTCCTCATGGCTGGAGTGAACTTGAACGGGCCACCTGAGATTGGCTCAAACACCTTCGAGTCAGTGGTAGGGCGACGACGCAGTATCGATTTTGTCGGTCCCATGACTCTTCTCTGTGTGCGCTCTTCGTCATTGGACACCATTTGCAGGGCTTCGCCCGCCTCTGATTGACTAGGTGTTCGTAGTACGATACGTTTCTCGCGGAGTTGGACGACTACCGCCGTAGGGGAGGCATCGTTGTCACGGTCGTGCTGAGAGCTACTCTGCTCATCACCGCGTGGCTTAAAATGTTCGAGGCTTACAGATTCCAAATCGAACTGTCTAGCGGGAGCAGGGCCAACAGTGTTGCTCATCCTTGCCTCGGCTGCTTCTGTTTCTGCCAAACAAGACTGGTGCGTGTGGTGTAGAACTCGTTGTATCGCGAGCATTGTCTGGAACTGTTCGTTCATGCCCTTCACATCTACTGCACTCTCCTCCAGTATTCTCAACTGTTGCTTGGCTACCAAGAGCTCCTTGTCGGTTTGCTTGAGCCTGTTGAGAGCGTTATCATCCATGGGAGACTGGCTTGGACTCTTTAGCCTATGAGTTAGATTGGCAATTCGCTGCTCAGCGTCAACCAGATCTCTCCGTAATCTAGCTGTCTCGGCTGTTGCATCTTGCTCTAGGATAGGAACATGTCTGGGAGACTCGTCCGGTTCCTTTCGGACTTCGCTACGCACGACAGTAGTATCCTCGAAAACAACGTCGCGTCCGCTATTTGTTGTCCCGCGACACTCCGTCTGTATCGCGGCATCAATAGTGTCACTGACAACCGAACGAAGAGGCTCTTCTCTTTTCTGCTGCAATCTCTCATAGATGCTCGTAAGGTGCTCTTTGATGTCTCCAGTGTCTTTTTGGCGCCTTTCAGTCTGGTCTCGGAATTGGCTCTCCATGTCGCAGATCTTCAATGTCTTGATGTTAGCCTCTTCGTGCAGCCCAGAGATTTCAAGCTCCATATTCTTTTTCAGAAGGGCAATTTCATTCTGGTGAATGACATTGAGGTCTTGAATCTGTTGCTGCAGGACGGTGCTCTGGGCGTCCTTATTAGACAATGCCTGTCGAAGCTCTACAATATCGCTCGCCAGAGTCGCTTCCTGGTTTGAAGTACTTTCAAGGCTCGCGATCTGAAGGCGCAGGCCTTGGGCTTCTTCCGTTTTCTTCTCATTTGAAACCTCAACATCCTTTAGTTGGCGGTATCGAACATCAAGAAGCGTCGCACATTGAGTCTTCTCTTCAGCCATCTCAATAAGCTCCTGGCGCATATCTGCTTCGCGAGAGCAGTGTCCATCCAACTGCGTTGTGAGCTGATTCTGGATGCTCTCTTGAACTTGGGTCATTGAATGTCGCAAGTCCATCTGACTGGTGTTGGTCATGCGCAGCGCAGCTTCAAGCTCATCGAAATGCCCCTTGAGAGCCGCTGTGAGGCCGTTGATCATCTCATCCCGACGCCGGAGCTCTTGGTCGCGTGAGGAGACAGCCGAAAGTATTTGATCCAATCTAAATCTCGGTCAGCCCATTTTCTCTTTTGTAATCGTCATGACCCTGCCTTTTGAGTAAAAGATCAGATCCTTCGGCCTTTGTGAGTTCTTTGTCACCCGCTATCTGCGCCAGGATCTGTTCCATCCCCGCTCGAAAACTTTTCGATAACTTGTCGTGTTGATTTTGGTCGTCGAGCTGACTTTCCAAGATGTTTGATCTCTCCACCTCTTGCAAAAGCTGCTGCTGAGTATCTTGTAGCTTTGCCTCGATATCTCTGAGCGTGGCATTGACTTCCAGTGTATCAGTCAAGGGTGTCTAGAGCTTATGTTCGTTGACGACTCACCTGTGTCAGATTCTCTCCGTGAAAATGCGCGACAAGCTTCAAGAGCCTTGGAGAGATCGTCGCGCACCAGCTCCCCTCTAACAATGGCTCGTTCGCTCTCGTCATGATTTTTCCGTTCCGTTTCTGCAGCATCCAGGATCGCTCGGTCCACAAAGGCTTTTTGATGTCTGTAGAACCTTTGCTGCTCGTCAAGAGCCTCGTTGAAGCGCATTTTGTAGTCTGCGAGTCGCGTTGCCATTTTGCCATACCTGCTTTTGTGTGCCTCAATTTCGTTCATCAACCTTTGAACCTCCTCATCTGCCTGAGTATTTTTACATTGCATCTCTTTCACCTCGGCTTGAACCTGCTTGTATTTCTGTTGGAGGTCCTGAGTATCAGTATGGAGGTTGTCGTAATCTGTAGCGATAGATTCCCTCTCACGACCGCATTTGATTAACTGGCGTTTTCCAACCTCTATTCTCTCTCTCAACGCTGCGACCTCGGCCTCTTTACGCTCAATAGTATCGCACTTCTCGGTCATCAGGGCGGCTTGCAGCTGCAACTTAGCACTTAGCTTCTTCTCTTTCCTCTCGGAGTCCTCAAGTCTAGCAGTCCACTCGGAAAACGTCTTCTGCATTTCGGCTCGGCTGTCTGAGCGGTACTTGTTCTTTTCAACTGCTGAATCTCGACGTCTCGAAGTGTTGGAGTCTCTTGAAATCGCGGAATAGGCCGATGGACTCGAAGGCTTGGCCAAACACACAGGGCGACTTGTCTGTTGTGCGTGACCCGAACGGCGGCTTTCATGGTCAACGTTCTTCGTTTTTCGTGCACTAGGCATCGCCAAATCTGCCATAGCAGCCTCTGGGGGGGCTGGAGTAACTTGACAATTCAGTGGAAATCGCACCCGGCTTGGAGGATGATGCAGCAGAGCATCTGGATTGTGGCCACGCGGACTGTGGTCAACTCGCCCTCGAAACAGCCGATCATTATGTTCTGTACTGGCATCCGAGTTTCTGAGCTTTGACGAAGTCGTTGCTAGTTCGAGGCACCTGCTATGGGTCTCTGGTAACGATGGCGTCTGCTGTTCGATACTATGACGACACTCCTCCTGATGGATACTTCGAACTCTCGAACACTGGTCAGTGTGCTGGCCAGGGGAGCCAGTGCCGAAGCTGAGATGGCGATCATGATCCTCTTTGCTGTTGGGTTGTAATCCGGGACCCCTTGGAGGCTGAGACGTATTCTGCGCTTCTGAACTGTCGTAATCCGAGAAGTATCGTGAAACACCTGGAGCGGGGGCTTCCTCGCGTGGCTCAGGAGCCTTGTTGATACATTTGGGGGGGTTCAGTGACTGTAGCCGCGTGGACGAGTCGGAGGGTAGGTGTTCTACCATGTTATTTATTGTTACTGATGCAGGCTGGCCAGCAGAAGGCCCAGTGGTTAAGCGCGCTGTTTCGTCGACACCCATGGTCTGTGGATTAGATACAATGGAATCAACTCCCGAGTTTTGAGCCGCAGAGCTGTTCCTTTCCGGCTGGCGTCCATCTTGGGGTGTGGGAACGTATGGTTTAGCCTTTGGTCCAGAGAACTGGTCCCGACTGAAAGAGGGTGCTGCCTGGAACGAATAACCGGTATCGTCCACGACAGACTCCAGGCTTGTAGCTGGCTTAGTAAAGCGCTTCACTTGGCCTGCCTTCAGCAATTGCTTTTCGATGGTGCCGTCTGAACCACCAGCTATAGTGTTAATAGCGCCAGGGGTATCGTTGACCTGGGCCGTCCTGGGACACTTCATTTGGGAGTCCTCCGCCAGAATAGACTCTTCTATCTCCTCATCACGTTGCTTTGCTGGTGCAGTCTTGCGATCTGATGATCCAGGGATTACCGAGGTGTTCCTGGAGATATCGCTGCTGGCCTGGCTGGCTGTAGGGCCAGGGCTACAGTGAGCTCCCAATAGCGAAGGTGATATCATGGTTCTGCTTGCACGGGGCACGAAGAACCACAACACTATGTATTTGGATGCGAGTGATTTGAACAAGCCCCGACGACTCCGAGGTCTGGCTCTGGCTGCTTGGCGGTGTGACCTGTGCCCGTTTGGACATTGGGAATTGCGAGGCTCCTTTCAGACAGGCAGACGTTGAAGTCAGTTGAGAAGAGCCCCAGATGCGGGTGTCAATGCTGATGATGCTTTCGTCTTGATTGAAAATCCCTGGCCCTGACGAGAACATGAGATGGCCACCAAACTTGTGGGGTTTCAGGAACTGTCCTGACCCTGGTGATGAGGGCATACCACGAGAGTGGAAAAGATACAGGTGTCACTCCCCGTCTTCGTCCTGCGCGAATTGTCATGGAAGCCACGTACCAGCACCCCAAAGACAATGTTGGCAACCAATTACAATGACTGAGGAGCAAGTAAGAAGAGGAAGTTGCCACTTGCTTGCCATTTTCAAGATCGGCCTTTGTGAGGCACTTGTCGCTTTGTTTTCATTGCAGACGGCAAGCACCAAGACAATGGTCAGGGCAGCTGCTGCCAAAAGGATGTTCATGTGGAGCGCCGCTACCCTATCTCATCATCCTGCTGGCCACAGCATTGGGCCGTTGCACTTGCGTCTTGTACCTTCTGCCCGTGCTGATACCGAGAGCTGTGAATAAGGTACCTATTGAGGTACCTAGGTAGGTATGTACGCAGAGGCTCGATCGAGGCATGGCTGTCAAGGATCATGGGAGGCGATGGTGACTGATACCGTCATATGCGTCTGCTTCCATTACACGACCGTGTACAGGCGCATCGTTCAAGTGCAGCCAATACGGCATCCTGCGAAATGGCGTAACTGTAACAATGCGGCCCTCGGCAGTCATGGGCCTGCCAGTCGAGACCACTCCCACGGTTCGGCAATCCGCTCATCAGCAGACAAGACAGGGATCGTGTGGGCGGACAGAATCTTGGCAACATTTTTGACGTGTCAAGCAGCTTTATCAGTCTCAAGGAGCCAGCGAGCCGGGCGGTAAATGATACAGCCCAAAAATGTCCAAAGCTGTCGAACGAGCAAGACATTAACTCAATTATCGGATGAAGGCAAAGCGCAGTCACTTTTACCAGCATTCATGGTGTGACAAGGCCAACAACAACGCTGTGATGTCTTCGGAGCCAGATGCAGGACAGCACGTCGTTAGACCCATCACAACAGCCCATCACACTGGGAAAAGCAGTGCAGTGCCCGTCGCCCACATTGTGCACCGGCGCTATTGATCGGCCAGCGATATCACTGCCGTTAAGAAACCCCACCACCACTACAGCTCGCCATGCTCTCGCGTGCACTGATTCGGCGGTGCATGAGTGAGCAAAGATGTGACGGCGGAAAGAGCGAACGACGTCTAAATCCTGGAGGCGCCCATCAACGGACCAATCTGCTGATTGGCGGGTCTCTTCAGGGGTGCATGCCTGGAGGCGCCGCGTGCTGGCGCTTCGAGTGATCACCACCACCAATGAACGCATCGCGGCACACGGGCACTTGTCTCGACAAGCACTGTCTAGGAGCCAATCCTCTTACGAAACGAGCAAAGCGACGATATCGTCTCGGGGACGCTATGTGGGAAGAGACATGCATGCGCCCATCACATGGAACGAGGTGGGGTGACGGGTTGGTCAGGGGCACCAAGCGACCGCATGGCAGACATGGGGTTGACTGGCTTGGCTGAAGAATATCTGGATGAGCCGACGGCTTGAGCAAAAGACTGGATTGTATATACCGACAGCTGGACCGCTCTCGTTTGCACCGGGTATCATTCCATTTATCTACTTTGTCGTACGGGATTTGCTGTGCAAATTGCTCGACAAGGCCGTCTACCAACCGTCCCCTCGTTACGGTATCATACATACAACCAAGTCTTACACTCTTGTCCTCACATCTTGCCGATACATCATGGCATCCCAAACATCGCACGATTTCCCTCTCGCGACCGAAGATTACTATAACGGCGATGGTGCGAGCGGTCAGGAGAACTCCGGGGCCGCAGATCATGCCGTTGACAGCGAGGCTGGTGCCTCTGGCGACAGCCCAGGTGCAATCAGCATCTCCGAAGAGGCCTTGATCGCCATCATTGTTGTTGTTTCCATCATCGCCGCCCTCGGCAGTAAGTCTTCCTTCCGTTTTTTGGCAGAAGCGAACCCGCAGCTCTAACCCATGGTAGTCGGGATGGCCGTTCTCTTCTATGTCGCCAAAAAGCGCGAGTGGAAAATCAGAGAAAACCTTCGCCGGTCGGCGCGCAAGGTTGTCACAGCTCTGACACCTCGTCGAACTGAGTTTCCCAAAGAGGTCAAGGATTCCCTTGGCAGGTCCCGCCGCGGTCGGACAAAGCTTGATGACGTACCGCCAACTCCTCGGCTTCGGCCCGAAGACCTGGAGAAGGGTTTGGCAATAGAGTTGCAGTTGAAGGACAAGAAGAAGTGGGGAAGGAAATAGGGCTCATAATGGAAGTTTGGCTGTCATGATTCACCTGTCGACTTGGCGCGTTCACGAACTCAACAGCTCGACAGTAGCCTGGTGCAGAGAGCTCTTGAGGAACCTCCATTGTGTAAAACATAGTCGTTGGGTATTCTTCTTAGGCGTTGAATTTAGAGTTTCCTGAAAGTATTGGAGCTCGCGCTCCTCCTCGGACCAGACTTCTTCTCCCTCGGCTCCGAATCGAACTGCTGGGGCTTCTTCTTGTGTCTTGGTGCCGGCACAAAGCTGACCTGTCGCTCGCCCACAACATCCCCTCGGACCTTGGACACCCTGCCCGACTTTTGTGCGCGGGAGCCCAATGCTGTGTCCTTCGGGCCATTGCCCCTGGACGACGAAGAAACCCTCATGACGATATCCGCAGGAGTTTGCTTCGGCTGCCGGGAAGGCTCGTTGGAATCGTCCTCCTTGCCCTGAGAATTCCTGGCAGGCGCTCCAGACAGCGCATATGGTGTGCTGCTTGGGTTGAGCTGGTGGTATTCGCGACTCGTCTCGTCGACCTTGAACGCCTCGTCCTCGAAGATCTTGGCAAAACGGTCGTCGCCCAGCATGCCGGCCTCGACATCCACCTTCTCTCTGTTCTCCTGGCGCTGAAGGAGCTTGTCGGCGAGCTTCTGGTTGACCTTGACCTTCTTCTTGCCGCGAATGCGGCTCTCGCGCTCCTTTTCCACCTTCTCCTTGATGCGCTTCGTTTTCTCCTCCTCCCAGATGTATGGGTTTGCAATGAGGCGGGCCTGGTCGTATAGTTTCGAGGCGACAAAGTAACCGTGCATGTAAGGGCGGAGTAGATTGGTCTTGCCGATGAGATGAGCCAAGCTGAGAGACTTGAGCTCGGCGAGAGTAAGGAACTTGTAATTATCGTAGGTTTCCGTGGGGACTTCTTCAGCCATCTCCTCAACCATGTTATCGAGGAAGGAGCACCACTTAGGTGCAGGTCCGAGACTGGGGATGAAGAACGAGTGTTGCTGTTGCCCTGGTTGGGAGTGTCAGCTAGCTTTCGGATCAATCGACATGGTGTTTGGAACAAACCTTCATTGGCGGTAAGAAGCATGCCGGTGTCTTTGCACCAGGCTACGTCGTTGAGATCCACGATGGGCTCAACGGAAGTGAAGGGCTCGCCATCTAGCTCGTCCCAAATCTTGATAATTCTCTTGTCCGCCGACATGACCTTCTTTTCTTGGGACGCGGTCGTCATGTGAATTAGCTTCTTGATCGGGAAGCCGTAGCCTTGATCCTTGGAAAGGAGGGGAATAGGTCGGCGCATATCGAATAGCTGCACCATGCCGTTCGCGGAACCCGTGGCTAGCGACAACCCAGAGCTGTTGAAGTCGAGTGCTGTAATGCCACCTTCTTGGCTGGACAGAAGGGCGACACGCGACTTTGACCTCGGATCCCAGAACTCGACAGTGCCGATCGATGTGCCAAACGCAGCCAGTCCGTGTGATCTCTCGGCGATGGCCGCCGTGTTCACACTACCGGCGCCGATGCTTCCTTGCAAGCCGGCGCCGGGCTCGTCACCACCGACATCAACCTGGAACGACTTCATGAACCTTCCAACCTCAAGGTTGAGACGGAACACTTCGCCGAACCCGTCTGAGTCGACACCTACGGAAGGAACGTAGACCTCGGCTGATTGCCTGTCGTAGACCAAGTCTCTGCCATATCGGGGAATACGGATGCCGTAGTGGAGTCCCATCGGTGTGTGTAGTTCGAGTCGTCGGTCGGTTTGTAGGAGGAGGGTCTTGGAGTAATCGGATGAAAGAATGGCGAGCTTCTCAGTCAAAGACTCGGTGTGGCGTGCAAAAGACAGACAAAGTTGTGAAAGAGTGTGAACGTGAATCTGAGGCTTGTATGTTCCTGCGCTGACCGACCACTCGCCGTCCTCACTGACTGCAATGCAGTTGCTTGCCTCTTCGAATTCGAAGTCCTGCAGAAGCTCAACACGATTCTGGTACTCGAGATCATTCTTCAGCGATCGCTTTCTCCTGCGCGCCAGCCAGTCGGGAAGGGGCCTGGCAGTCGATGCGCCAGAGATGGTATAAACCGGGACGGTGCCCGGGTTTGTGAGCTTCATGTCGACGATAGACTATCACCAGACGTATGGTGTTGGATCGCAAGGTCGCAAAAAATTATACTGAAAGAGAAGATCACCTGCCAAAGCTAGCCAGATTTTGCGGAGGGACCAGCCATGGACCTTCGGGTTGTAGAAAAAACTTCCGATAAGATAAGTGCACCTCGGTGAGGCCCCGCTCATGGCAAGGGTAAGGATGCGTTAGCGGCTCTGCTGACCGAGCTTTGCAAGTGTGAGGTGATTGGCAGCACGGTCTCAATGATGCGGGCTCTTCGGCTGCGCGGTGGAGTTTGTGGAGGACAGGGGTCTGCTGTTCGTTGCAAGTGGCCCCTGCCTTCCAGTCGCAGTTCAAGCCGTACCTCGCGCAGCGGACGTGACCATCCTTTCGATTCAGCTCGCTGAGGTAGCCAAGCCAGCTCGCGAAAGTCCACCCTCGACGGCGCATCACCATCATCCCGACCATTGCCATGCATTAGCTTTGAAGCGAACACGATAAGAACTTGCAGCATTCCGTCGACAACTCTACTCCGCTCTGCCTTTTTCTGAGCCCAGACAACTAGCTGGTCTACCTCGATCCATCTCGGCTTGGACTCGGCTCGCTGAGATGGCGTCGGGCGTCTCCAAGAATCGATTCGGAAGCAACCCCTCTACACACATTTTAAGCAGAAAAACTCGCACGGAATCCGTCTTCTCCAAGTCTCTGTCTGCATGAGTGGCCCCTCATAGGGTTGCTTGTGCCTGGAAGAGCCCCAGAGACGAGACACAAGTCACAGCGGGGATCTTGATGTCGCCAAATCGACACCTTGAGCCCGCATCACACCGTCGACATGGACACGAGCCAATACGGTACTAATATCTTCTTGATTGTAAGGGCGCGCTCGCTGTTTGCTGTATTTCTGGCATGGCTAATATTTCTCGCACAGAAAGGTATCTCGTCAATCGCTTATCAACTGTACGAACCGGCACCCGACCAGGCGCAAGCATTCGCTTCGATTGCACCAACCATTGAGAAATCGCTTCGAGATGCTGGCCGTGTAGCACATTTTGACAGCAGTCGCCGCGCCCTATGGCACTTTCATATCCCACGGCACGATGCGACGCAGCCGGCAGCTCACACCGAGGAGGGGGGTGCCCTGGACCATTTATTAGACGTAGCTGATTTCAACCTGGCGCTCACTGATGAAGGATCCTTCGAACCCGGTCATCTCTTCAAGAGCCGACCTTTCGGGCAAGGGCAAGCCGCTGCCAATACACCGACCCATCCTGCTTTCAATGGTTCCGTACCCGATGCAACGCTCAGAAATGCCTCTTCGTTCGACAAGAACAATACGGCCACGCCTAGCTCTTCTGATCCGGAGGGAAAGTCAACGCCAATATCATCATCAGATGGCAAGATATCCATCACTGTCAAGATCGCGTACGAGCAGTTCATTAGCGCCATGATTTCCACTGTATCGTCGCCAATCTGTAGGCGCTTAGCCGCGATCCCGCTGAACCACTGTACAATTTTGTTGAACTCCAAAATCATTCGACAGGGAGAGTCTGAGAATGCCTCAGGAACCGAGACGGCTGTCCTTGGAACCTTTCGGATCTATCTGACGACCACCGGCACCCTGGTCATAAGCTTTTCGCTGGTCTTGAGTGAAGGTCTGATATCTATGCACGAAGTTCCTGGTACAGGCCAGGCGGCTCTGTCGAGTCAGGTCTTGGCGGCGCCCTTTGGAGTTCTCGGGAGCTACATGGGACTTGCGAATGGTGCCCTGCCTTATGCTGACACTATTGGGCAAACACCAGACACACGTTTATGGCGACCCAGGCCCGAACCGGACGCAAAGTCATCACAATGGAGGGAGATATGCACCAGCATGCTGAAAGGCTGGGGCTTATCCGGGCATACTTTGCAAAATTGTACGTGGGTCGCACTCCAACTCTCTCCTCGGAAGCCTGTAGACCTTCGAGCTGAAGGCAGAGGAACGCCGGTGCGGAACTTGTCGCCGCCTATGATCTTTTCATGGCCTTCGATTCTCTGTTTTAGAAAGAGATCTGTGGATCCACAGGCCAACCAGAGCGAAAGGACTGATATAGCGCTGGCATCGAAGGAGGCGGCCGACTCTCTGACGGAAGCTAAGACCTGGTTTCAGTCCGGAACTGAGAGGGAGGAAAGCATTGTCCAACGACGCAAAGCAAGAGAGGCGGCCGCTTCTGCGAAGGAGGTCCAAGCCCAAGCTCCAGCTGCTCCTCAGCCAACTGATCAGTTTCCGATGGACCCTAGACGTGCAGCCAATGCTGCTGCTGCCAGCGCCATGTATCCTACGCCGCCGGACGCTGTTCAGAATCCACTTGGCATCTTCACCGCACCGACGGCGGATGCCGTAACCTCGAGCCCTGGGCCGCCTTCGTCGGTCGCTGCGCCTGTAGATGGCGATGCACCCATGGTCAACGCGGTAGCAATGGCAGATACCGAAGGCGATAGCTGGGAGCAAACCGACACTAAGAGAGATCGAGGTGATTCGACTTTCGAGGGGGATGACAATCTTTTTGGAGACATGGGCCCGGACATGTTTGGCGACACAGACATTACGGACGCAGACTTCAGTTTCTTCGATGAGGATGATGACAATAATCCTCTGGACCTCAATATGTCTGCGCCTGACACGACGATGACGAGCCTCCCGGCGACAACGCCTGAGCCAGTTTCGTTGCAAGCAGATATCTTACCACCCTCTATTGACGACCCTCCTGAGGAGACGAAACTGAAAACGGAAGCGCCTATTTTTACCAAGCCGGAACTCCGACATGCGCGTAGCACGCTGAACGACGAGACAAGAGGACGCCCGACTAGTGACAATTCAAAGGCTCTTAGCAACAAGCGAGAGCCTAGCCCCTTTGACCCAGCCACCGTATTCAAAAAGGTTCGGGCCTCTCTTGGCCGTCTCAACAATCAATCCCTTGGCACCTCTTCTACAGTAACAGCACGCAAAGGCAGCGTTTTTGACAGCATCGAGTTTGATCCTGTACTTCCTTTAGCAAGCAAGAAGTACGAGCAAGGAGGTCGCTTCGCCTGCCGATGGACACCTACACAGTCAGACACGAGCCTCAATCTCAAGAAGCCTCCAACTACAGATTACCTCCGCAGACATAGCAAGTCGCATCGCAAACCTTTTCGAACGGACAACACCAATGCGCGCATCCGCAGCATCACTGATGGTTTGGAAAACAGCAGTCTGCAAGCGAGCCCGGATAGAATCGAGGAATTGTCCTCGGACGCCGATGACATGAGCCTCGAGTCCGACGTTGACGAATCGCCCGAATTGATGGAGGAACCAACCTCGCCCTTCAAGGCAAGCACCAAAAGACTGAATCTTGAGGACGATATGGTGTCGCATGTGACGTCGTTGAGAGATGTCGAATCCGTAGTGGAGGATACGGATCCATCCTTGGCGCTGGAGTTGCCCAGGATTGCCAGATTCGAGGTTCCTGAAGTCGCTGTTGCGAAATACTTTGACGATCCAGAGCCTCTTTTGAGCCAGCTATCACTTCAAGACGACGACATCATTACTGTTGCTCAGATCCTCACCGAGCAGGCGATTTCTGGCAATCTCTGTTTGCGTGATGCACAGTCGGCGACCTTTAATTCCCCTGTCGGTCCAGAAACCCGCCGCCAACTAGCATCTCTTTCCAGAACATTATCTCTGGTACTGCAGCAAGCTATACCTGCTGCTATGGGAGATTCAACTCAATGCCAATTCCGAGAGTTGATCGAAGCGTCCGATGTCCCCCTCCTTGGACCTCCCAGTAGAGCTCAGCCTCGACCAGTGCCTCCTCGAGATCCGAACGCTGAACCTCCAAAGCCCAACTATCTGTTCCAAATCCCTCCACCTCATCTAGAGATCAAGCGCCTGGACTCGAAGCTGTCTGTTCTGCCATCGACCATCTCATTCTGGGAGACACTTGGTCTGGGTCCGTCTCAAGGGGCAAAGAATATTACTGCCGCCTGCGTGTTTCCAAATTTAAACGGTCTCTCTGACTTCGCCACGACATTTCTGGGGCGCATTAGAAACACGTATGAATTCCTGAAGCTCGGAGGATTCGACATTGTCAACGGCGAGAGTGGTCATACCACAGGCGGGCTCGTGCCGTGGGAGGAAGAACGTTTGACTGGCACACCAACGGTCGATGGAGCAATGCACGGCTCAAGCTTGTCTGACCGCATGGATAGCCTGAACCAGAGTCTGCTTTCCCTTGAGGCTCGTGAGAAGAACTTTGTTGTCTTCATCGTCTACATACCAAGTCATCCGGAGTCGATCGTCGAAGCTTGCACGGCTTTCCAGCAGCTCTTCGAACTGCATAAGAAAGCCCTTGCCGACAAGAGGCTTGCTCCATCAAACGAGTTGGTGTTGCAACTTCTACCAGTGGATTTCTTGACAGCAGTTTCTGGAATGCCAACGGCTTTGCCTATTGACCTCATCAAGCTAGCGCTGGAGACATACGACCGATGCACCATATTTGGGGGGCCCATGCCTGCGCCTGCTATCCTCCTCGAGCATACCCTGCCGCGGAATATCGATTTCAGGCTCAATAACACAGGGTCATCCTCGCTTATGCACGAAAATACCTGCATCCACATAGCATATGCACAAAGCGTTGACGAAAGGTGGATCACGGCAGCTTGGACGGACAACCGTGGGAGTCAGCAAATGACGGCGTCATACAATCTCGGTCGAAAGGGCAAGTCATTGTCAAGTTCATTGAACGAAGTCACACATGAAATTTGGGAGACGACTCATGACCTTATCTCTCGATGGAAGGTGCACTGGCGTATCATTATAACCAAATGCGGGAGCATGGACCAGAGTGAGATTGACTTCTGGGTAGGCTTGGCTCAGACGGAGCAGCAGGCATCGGTCAGCTTGACGCTCATCACGGTCGACACGAGCCCCTCGTTGCAGCTCGTCCCTCCAGCGGTCAAGGTCCCGCCTACAGCTTCGACGTCATTCTATACCACACCTGTTTCCACCCCTCAGCCATCAACTGTTTCCCCGGACCAGATCGGCACCCCCTCGACACCCATGAAAGACGGCAGCCAGGCGAATGCTAGCACGCCGACAGGTACGCCAGGAGGGGCGGATGTGACAGAACCCGCCGAGGGTGACGCGATTCTCGTCGATGTAACCGACCAGACTTGGGGCGCCGTATTATCCCACAGACTGGGTAATTCAACCGCGCCCGGAGAGCTAAGCACCTCTCTCATAAGTGGCTATCTTGTCAAGCGGGGTGGAACCAAGGTTGAGGACCCCCCAGTCATCATGGAGGTCAACATTGTACACACAGATGGGAACCCTCGAGCTCTTGAAGCCCTGCTCAGGGAGATGCTCAACTATTTCCGTGGCCTTGGGACCTTGGCGCGGGCCAGGGGCATGGTGGATAGCGAGACAGACGTGAGACCGTGGCATATCGCGGCGGCAGAAAAAGGCGTCCGGGCGCTGTATTTACTGATGTGAATTTTGTATCAATGAGAGTTGAACGGCTGGGTAGCATCACATCACAGGGATGAAAAGGAGTGGAAGCATACCGGTTTCATGCAGCGTAGAGTGTAGTAGCAGTGCCTGGGGTCTGGTGGGATATGACACGAGTAGACATGATTATCACTTATGCGGGCGTTACGGCTCCATAGCAGATGGAACATGAACAGTGACACACTTCATAAAGAAGTATACAGCATATCACCAGTAGAATCGTGAGAGTGACGGCATTCCATGTGTTGACAAGGTCAGCTTCTACTAAGCCATGGACGGTCCTAATACAGTGCCAAGCTCATGACGGACCCAGCCTGTGCCTGGATGCCTTGGTCGTAACCATCAAGACTGTAGCCCGAACGCCGGCTAGGGCTGCCAAGAGTAAGTGTGTCGAGAGCGCCCTCCTTGACTCCATCTGGAAAATTAAACCGACACCACTGGAGGCCTCGAAGACGAAGACGTGAAAGGTGTCTGAACGAAGAAAATAGTATTAGAATATACGTCCTACGAATTGCGACGATTGCCGCCAGCCTCCTCCTTCATCGCCGTCGCGCTGACACCATAAGGCTTGAGCTCTATCGAGTCCTCGTCGCCCACGGTGCTCAACCTCTCGTGCTCGACTCTCACCTCCTCCGTCTTGAGCACGCCGCTGAGGTTCGGCGAGCGGGCGCTGGCCTCGGGGTCCCGGAGCGCCTCCTGCGACTCCTCCCAGGCAATGTTCGACATGATGACGACCGAGTTCTGGCCGTACTTGCTGTGCGGCTGCCGCGTTGCGCGCTTGGCGTCGGAAGACGTGGCGCCCGCGCCCGTCTGCCCGGCGTAGGGGTTGCTCCGGTTATATTTGGACCTGGCGTGACTCGTCTTGAGCTCGTGGTACAGCATCCTCCTATTGTTGAGCGGGTCAGCACGATGGTGTCATGTGGTGCGAAGGGGGGCAAGCTGGGGCGTTGACTAACAGCACGGGGATGGACACGGCCATGATGGAGGCAGCGGGCTCTACCAAGGTCCAGATGGTCAAGTCAACGCGGTCATAGGTGAAGTCGGTGCTCGTCATGTTGACGACGAGCACCGCCTTGACGATCGCTGTGATTCCAGCACTACCCCAATGACGTTAGCAATGATGTACGAGGACTGAACACGGACGGCAATCTCACATAGCGCCAAGACTCATGGCCACTGCAACACCGAGCCTCTCACGTCGTCGCATGGACATGCCCATGATGATCTGCCACGGAAGTAGGGCGAGCATGAAATCGAGGATAGCAGAGTAGTCTGTGTCGGTATCAGTATGACGGGCCGGGCCGGTCGAGCTGCTTCAATGGCATCGTCTTGTAACTCACATGCAGCGAAGAGCTGGAATTTGAGGAGTTTCTGCCTGTCCCAGCACTTTCCCGGGTGGCTGCCGTCGATGACTTTGGCAAAAGGCGTGCACTTCACCAGCCCAAAGATCCAAACAAGATTCATGGAGACATTGATCGTCACGATGATGAAGATGAGAAGATACTTCATCCACTGGTTGGTCGAAATTCGATAAAGCGTAATGGCGAAGGACGTTTTGCTTAACGTCGTGGCCATGATTCCAAACGCCGCCACCATGATGGTGCTGAGACTGATGATTTTGAGATTCTCATCGCTGATTGTTGCCCGCCTCGTACCGAAACCGATTGAACAGATGTACGAGAGCACAGAGCAAGATATAGAGAGGGAAATCTGCCGTGGTGCCACGCATGAGTATTTCAAGACTTTCAGCAGCCCAGGACAACCGTTCGGTCAAAGTCCTCAGCAGGGAGGTGAAGGACGCAACATACCCAGGAAGCAATCAAGAGATGGTCATCCCACCAAAGACCTCTTCCTCGCCACACCTTGCAGTACAGGCGGAGGGAGAGCAGGATGACGGCGGCGGCGGCCAAAGACCAGCACGCCGCGAGAAGGCGTGTGCGTCTATCATCCTCCATGACGATATGCTCGGAACATGCGGATGCATGCAAGAAAGCACGGAGGAGGAAAGACTGTAGATCAGGGGACGAGGAGGTTGGACAGCAAGGAGACCTGGCAAGAGGCCTTACGAGTGTGGGCGGCGCTGTGGGGATTGCCGATGCATTTAACAAACCAAGGACCCTTCTGCCCCAGATCCCCTGGTCCGTGATGGTCCACCTTCTCGGCTCCTAACTTCCCGCGCATCACAAGGCCAAAGATGAGATACATCAGACCATCTGAGGTTCGAGAGATTCTGGGTAGGATCATCGGTCTCTATGCTACACTAGAGGGGGGCCGGCGGGGATTCCCTCGTCTGGAAGGATCCGACCCAGGAGAGAAGAGAAGCTTCAGCTCAGTATGGAATCTCTGCCTGGTCTCGTCTCATCAGCTTTGTATGGGCCACCATCTAACTGTTCTCGGGGATGTGGCTGTCGATCTCCATGTGAATGGATCTTTGACAGCCAATGCTGATATCACTTCTGGCCACTGTCTCGGGTTACTCTCACGCCAGCGACCGTGCCTTGCTAGTTTTGCCTTTACAGTTGGATGTCATTCGTAGCGCCGCTTCATAGCCTCTTCTCTCGCCGCCGCCTGGCATGGGGATGGGTGTCTGTTCTCGCAGCCGTCGGGCAGTCGGGGAAGAGCCGCTGAAATCTACGCATAACGGCCATCAAGCCTTGCTGGTGGAACTATGTGTCCTTGGGTGGAGATCATGACCGCGCTGGCGTTCTTAGTTGAAGTGGTCGTCAATGGCGTGAGCGTGCGAGTCAGCTCCCACCTTAGCTCAGGGGCCGTGGTGCTCTTGGGTGTTTTACCGCAGGGTGGCGGCACAGTTTATGTGGCAAAGCGGAAAAGGCGACTCGTCCGGCGAGTGTATCATTATTGCATTGCCTTTTCCCAAAGCAACGGCACTTCACTGCAAAATAACCTGTTTCCTCTTCCTTCCAGCGGTAACATCGTTCTGCTTGGACGGGCAAGGGCCGCGAGAAGGCTTCAATCAGCGCGGGCTCGTGCTGCAACGTCGCATTGCCACTGGCTTACCATGGTCGCTTGGATCGGACCCTTTGGCGACCTTTGGCGAGTCAGGAGCCGGCACCGCCTCCTGAGCCTAGGTAGATAGCTGGCCGAGTCATCAGAGCGAGCGGGGATCGTTGCGCCGCGCACCCGCGTGAATGAATCGTGCTGGCCTTAGCTTGGAGTTCTTCATCACCGTGTGTGTGCCCATGGCAGGTGGGGCCGGGCCGTTGGCAGGGCGGGAGCATTTCTATTCTTCTCCTCGCTCCGAGGATGAGGGGACTGAGGGACCAACTCAATATTGTGCCTAGCTCGTGAGCTTAGTTCCTTATTTCTTGGTTTGCATCCGAGCCATTCACAGTCCTACCCACTTCACCTTGCCTGAAGCAGGTAAGTAGGTAGAATGGCAACGATGCCGGTGGCAGGCAGGGTGGCAGGCAGGCAGGCAGGCCAAGACAAGTGGAGAGGCTCGGCTGTCGCAGCCTCGCCAGGTGAAGAGGAAGCCCGTTCAGAGCCCACTTTCCGGTCATGTGACCATGGCCTGAGGTGCCGGAGAGGTCCCCCCCACCTTCACCAATCCCCTCGTCGGCTCCTCCGTCCTTCGTCACCTCCTCCCTTTGCCCCACCCCCATGTCGGCATTCAACCTCCCCTAACCCCAAGATCCTTGAAGACCAGACCCCCCCGCCTGCATCCACTGGCAACTTGGCCAGGATTTCTGCATTTCTTTGTCCAATACGAATTACCGGCGGCCTATTCATACCCGATGCAGAAGACATGCCGACTACACCGGGGAACATTGGTCAAGCTTCCATGCCGCCCATGTCGCTATCGCCTTCGGACTATCCGCGGAAATTTTCTGCCGTCGGTACAGGATCATATCACTCAAGCGCAGCAATACATGAGGGGGGCAACGTAATTTATTGCCATTTGCGTCATGCTTCGATGCGGGGACCCTAAGATGCTTGATCCTTCGGTCTCTTTAAAAGATGCGAGGTGATCGGCATCGCAATTGAGGGCCACGAGGTTTCCATGTGGTCAGCGCTTCTCGTCAACTGAGATCTGCCTCTCTTCTGCACAAGACACGTCCCTCTGCCCGTCATTCTTCCCACGTCCCTCGCAAGCAAGCATGCCTTCGCACGTGGCCACCCTTGTCTTGGCCGCCCTGTCGGGTCTGGCCCTGGCAGCTCCTGCGCCTGCAGCAACCTGCGTGCCTACGGCGCACACTGCTCAGGGCGCCTACGTTGGCCTTCACAACGATGCCGCCAACCAGGACTACTTCCTCGGCATCCCCTACGCCCAGCCTCCCGTCGGTGCCCTTCGTTTCGCCTCGCCCAAGCCGCTGCAGACGACCTTCAGGGGCGTTCGCAACGCGACCGAGTATGGATGGATGTGCATTGGGTACGGCTCCGACACGAGCAGCCTGGGCAGCCCGGTCAACGAGGACTGCCTGACCCTCAACGTCGTCCGACCGAAAGGTGTCAAGGCTGGCGACAAGCTCCCCGTCGGTGTTTGGGTGCACGGCGGCGTACGTCTTCTTCTTCTTCTTCTTCTTCTTCCTCCCTCCTCTCCTCTCTCTCTCTCTCTCTCTCTCTCTCTCTCTGTGATCATTTCACTAACGCGGATTCCAGAGTTATGTCCAGGGTGGTTCTCGTGACCCGAGGTACAACCTCACCGAGATCGTGGACCAATCTGTCAAGGAGGGCAAGCCCATCGTGGCCGTCTCCATCAACTACCGCCTGTCGCTCTGGGGCTTCCTCTTCAGCGAAGAGCTCAAGAATGCCAAGGCCGGCAACACTGGCCTCAAGGACCAGCGCGTCGCTCTTGAGTGGTTGAACAAGAACATCGCCGCCTTTGGTGGTAGCCCCGACAAGGTCACCATTTGGGGCGAGTCTGCTGGTGCTCGTGCCCTGGGTATGCAGCTCATCGCCTACGACGGCAAGCACAACGGCATCTTCCGCAGCGCCATTCTTCAGAGTGGTAGCCCAACGGCCGTGTTCAAGGGTGCCGCCGACTGGCAGCCGTACTTTGACGCCCTCCTTGCCAAGACCGGGTGCTCCTCCGCCGCCGATAAGCTTGCCTGCCTCCGTGCTCTTCCCTGGCAGACGCTGAACAGCATCTTCAGCGGCAGCGATGCCTTGAGCGTCGCCGCGCCGACCCTGAGTGCCGTTGTCGACGGCGACTTCATCAGCGCCCAGGCCTCCGTTCTCCTGAAGCAGGGCAAGTTCGCTCGCGTGCCCCTCCTCACCGGCACCAACTTTGACGAGGGCACCGCCTACGCTCGGAACGGCATCAACAACGAAGACGGCTGGCTCTCGTGGCTGTCGGCTCTCGGCCTCAACTCTACCCAGGCCGCCGGTGTTTCCTCCCTGTACCCCGATGACCCCGCTGTTGGCATTCCCGCCTTCTACGAGGGCCGGCCCCCTGCGTCCCCCTTCGGCACCCTCTTCAAGCGCTCGGCCGCCTTGGCCGGCGACTACCAGCAGCACGCCGGCCGCAGGCTCCTGACCGAGACGTACTCGGCCGCCGGCCTGCCCGTCTACTCCTACCACTGGAACGCCATCGTCAACGGCCTGCCCAACCCCATCTACGGCGCCACCCACTTCCAGGAGGTCGCCTTTGTGTTCAACAACGTTGCCGGTCGCGGCTACACTGCCAACCCCTTCGCAGGCCGGCCCCAATCGTACGTCGAGCTCGCTGACCTCATGAGCAAGATGTGGGTCTCCTTCATCCACGGCGGCAACCCCAACGTCGACGCCGTCCAGTGGCCCAAGTACTCAGGCGCCAACCCCACGAACCTCGTGTTCGATCCCAGCCGCGACAACCTCCGCTACACCGAGGTTGACGACTACAGGGAGGCGGGCATCGACTACCTTCTCAACAGCGTCTTCGTTTGAAGCATGAAAATGTGATTTATCTATATATCCTTATTCGTTACTCAGCGTTGCACATGTAGACCATTTAGACTATTGGATATTCTGCGGGTTCAACGGAAATGTATGCCCGTATTGATTAAAACTTGTTGCCCGACACTCGGTGATTGCTTTGGTCTCTGGTTACTCTGCTGTTTTTGACGTGAAATGGAGTCGACATCGAAGCTGTGGGGTGTACTCAATTAGTGCTGTTCTGGCCTGGCGTAATGGGACAGGTGCGACTCGGTGAATCCCAGTCTCGCCGACTGGGCATCCCAATTCTCGCTTGCTGCCAGATACGAAGTAGGTCACATCATTATCAAGACTTGCTAGGGGCGGTTGCCTTACTAAGGAGGCCGACGCTTGCTCACTGCAATCGCCAGCTCGTAAGACGGCCGAGGTGATAGTGCCTGGGTCATCTCAATAACAGTTCTGGAAGTCGATTCTAGCTTGAGCTGGCACGCTTGACAAGGATGGGACGAATAGCTCTCGGTTCTCTGCCCCCGCTTGGTCCCCTTTCTTGGCGCCATGGCGTCTTGAAAGTCGAAGTGCCACCTTCGAACAGGACTACCCATGAAGCAGGCGCGGTGAAGAAATGTACATTCACAATGCTACAGCCCATAGCTGTCACTTTTCATAGTATCCACCACGCTGTTCGCACATTGCAGCATCTCTGGGCCTCGCCTGCTGACCGAGTGTCATCACCTCAACTCGAAGACGGATCCCGTGGTACGACCACATCCTGTAACACCCGTTCTTACGAGAGAGCATCTAATCAGAGGAATCTAGTTGGCATAAGTACAGTTGATGTACTGTCAAGTCTATATGCAAAGGAATTCGTAAACACATGAGCTCGTTGTCTGCCTCGACAGGCAGCTGCGCTTCTGAACACCGCTCTCTCTATTTCATCTCAAACGCTTTTCTTTTTCGAAGGCCTAGTTCTCCCAGAACCCGGGGAACAGAAACTCGACCTTCTTCATGGCCTCGGGGTTGCGGCCCTCGGGCTTGGTCATGAACTTGACGGCGCCCTGGGAGGCGCCCTCCCACTGCTTGGCAAGGACGAGCTCGCTGTTCTCGTGCCTGCTCAGCTGGTCGAGGACGCCGCCGACGAGGCGCTTGGCGTTCTTGCCGTTGGCCTCCATGTACTTGAGGACCATGGCGACGTCGACGTCGTCAAAGCTGTGCCAGCAGTCGTAGTCGGTGGCCATGCAGATCATCTGGTAGGCCATCTCGGCCTCGCGCGCGAGCTTGGCCTCGGGCAGGGCCGACATGTTGATGACGCTGCCGCCCCAGGCGCGGTACATGTGGGACTCGGCGCGCGTGGAGAACTGGGGGCCCTCCATGCAGATGATGGTGCCCTTCTCGTGGAGCACGACGCCGTCGCCGTCCATGTGGGCGGCGCACGTCTTGACGACCTCGGCGAGGCCCTTGTCAAAGGGGTCGGCGAAGCCGACGTGGCCGACGACGCCGCCCTCGAAGAAGGTGAAGGGCCGGATGCCCTTGGTGCGGTCGATGACCTGGTCCGGCACGACAAAGTCCATGGGCTTGATCTCCTCCTGGAGCGAGCCGACGGCCGAGAAGGCGATGATGGAGCGGACGCCGACGTGGCGCAGCGCGGCAATGTTGGCGCGCGCCGGCACCTCGTGGGGTGCGAACTGGTGGTGGACGCCGTGGCGCGCGAGGAAGGCGATGGGCACGCCGTTGTGCTCGAGAATCTGGATCGGGGACGAGGGGAAGCCCCAAGGGGTCTCGGGGTTGAGCTCGGCGACGGGCGTGTAGCCGTCAATCTTGCTGAGACCGGTGCCACCGATGACGGCGATGTGGACCGGGCCTGTCACAATTGTCAGTCACTGGTCACAGGCTTGCGATGCTCCACGATGGAGGTGACGCCCGGAAGAGACGGGTGTCATGGGTCGAGGGGTGTTCGAGGCAGGCACTCACGGTCAAAGGTGTTGGGAAGGGCAGACATGGCTTCTGTAGGTCGATGTACCAAAGAGCGGAGGGCCAAGAGAGATCGTCAAAGGACGGGTTGGATGATTCGGTATGCCAATGGGTTGAGAGTCGCAAACTAAAGCAGATTTCGAACAATGTTGACTACCCCGCCAAACGGCCGGCGTCGAAAAGTGGGATGGCGCCATGACGCTGGAGTGGCTGCACGTCTTCACTGGGAGCTTATCGCCTAGGGCCATTCGCTGGAGGGCGCGCTGACAGGGTCCACCGTCCGATAAGACATGGGTTCTACTTGTCTTCTCCCAGCTCTTTGTGAAACAATGTCGGGATGCAAGATGTCGAGGGCAGAGTGCGTGTTTGATTTTACATGCATACCCAAACATGAGTCTTCCGTAATGAAAACATCGTGAGCAGTTCTGTCTGACGGCCAGCGATGCCAGTCCTCCCAGTGCCCAAGAAGAACATGGCGATGCCCCACAGGCCACGGCCCACAGAGCCTGCATCGTCCCCTCGGAAATTTCTGGCCTGTGCTCCAGTACCTTCGATTTTCGCCATTACTAACACAACTCTGACCTCGAAGTCCTGTCACTACCACAACCTCACAAACCCCGCCACCTCCGGGCCCAGTTGCTCCCTTCTTCCTGAAAGTGTCATACTCGACAACTTTCAAGGCGTTTTCTTTTTCAACCGTTCCAACTCGTCTGGGCAGTTCGGTCGCCGTCGCTCACCGCCACATCATCTCACCTCTCGAGGTAGCCCTCCCTCACTTGAGCCTCAGTCTCGTGATAGCACCACAGACCAGGGCGCCTGGTCGGAGCCAGCATGGCCGCCATCGAGATCCCCTCATTACCAGATCCTGGTCCTTCCGATGGATCCAAGCCTTCGGAGTCCATCGAGGAGCGCTGCTTCTCGGCAGCCCTCATCTGCCTCGAGGGCCATTACACCAGTTCGCCGCCCATGGGTCCCATGACGGCAAACAAGGTCTCGGGCATGATCGCCAAGACCTTAGAAAAGACACACACGTTCAAACACGTTCGAGAGTCATTGGCAAGGAATGTGGCCATCTGGATCTGGCTGACAAGAATCTTCGGCGCCGCCATCCCCAACCTCACAACCCGCTCCGTGGGGCCGCTGTCCAGCTTGAACGACCCCGAGAAAGGTGTCAGCCCTCAGGAGAGCACAGCACTCATCGTCAAGAACCAGGTCAACCTCAAGGACGATCTGCAGATTCTCAACAAGCTCATGCACATTGCCCGTAACCTGCTCGTCACGTCGGAGCCCGAGGTTCCGCAGGATATCTGTGCTGCTGTCCACTTTGACCAGATGGTGTACCAGACCATCATCCTGTGTGTCAATGTCACGAGCAAGGGCTATGACGGCGAGATTCTTGACGAAACGTCAAGAGCCAAACTGAACGAGATTACAGATCTGTGTAGGTCCCTTCCGTCCACACATCTCCCCATTTGCTGATTTTCGCACAGACAAGAAGTTGCTCGTCACATCCTTGCAACAGGCTCATAACTGGACCGCCAAGAATGACCGCAACAAAATGTCCTTCTGGTACGACGTTCTCTTCGACGAAGATGCACAGCTCGATGACCCGCAAGAGGGCATGGGCGATGGGTCTGGCTTCCGAGTCGACATTGCCAAGACGGAAATCCAAAACTGGCTGGAGCGCAACTCACGAATGTGCGATGCGGCACGGAAGCTCTTGACGGATTATTCGCAGCACCAGTCACACAGGCCACCAGGAGTTTTGGCCCCCATCGCTCCGCTGGCTTGGAACTGGTTCCCCGAAGGACAGGTCAAGGTCCGTGCCGACAACATCAAGGAGGGTGAGAAGTTCACGCCGAAGTGGGACCTTGACATTACGGACAAGTTTGAGCAAGACCGGGCATATGGCCGGGTTTCGCGTGAGATCGACACGTGGTGGATGCGCGCCCGCGATGCCAATTACGATGACTGGGTCGTGCCGATGCCTTCTGTCGAGTTCGCAGCTTCACGAACAGAGCATTGCAAGACCAATCTCCTCAACCGCTACGCGACAGCGCTTCACCCCACTGACTATGAGGACGAGGACGAAGAGGACGACGAGGACGGAGCTGAAGTCTACGAGGTTGAAGAATCCGCTCTGGACCTCCCCAGAGACACTGACGGTTCTGACGTCGAATACGTCGAGGGTGAATACGACGAGATGATCGACGAAGAAGACGACATCGACGACGATGACGACTCTTACGGCGAGGGTCCCCTGACAGGCCTATTGACGGAAATCCCCAACATCCTCGACCCTAAACAGATCGAAGCGCTTCACATGATTGTCAAGTCATGCATCCTAGACTCGGCTGGCACTGGCCTCACCCGTGCAGGCGAGAATCTCCAAAAGACCCGATGCCGCATGTTTTTGGCTCTGGACTGCGGCAAGTCTCTGCTCCGAGAAATGCTCGTCTTCATCGCTGTCTGGGAAAAGGATGAGCAATCACTCATCTTCCAGCTCACCTCCCAGCTTGTCGAAGCTATGCACCACTCTTCCCTCGTCTCTTATGCCTGGAACTCTCTCCGCATCCCGAAAGATATCATCTCGCCGGCGCAGACAGTGCTCCTCCGCCTCGTCAACCACATGTTCCGCAGCCGCATCTCATCGCCACCGCAGGACCCCAAAGACAGGACGCGCGACCTGAAGCTCGTCATGTTCTTCTTTGGCTTCTTCCGCTCTCGCATTGTGCCGGAATGTGTGGCGCTCATGCATTTGCAGGCTCAGCTGCGCGAGGATAACTCTGACCCTGGCGAGTTCCCCGTCGACACCTGGGACATGGAGCGGGCCAGGGACGGCCTGGCTCAGTACCTCGACCTTCTAACCACTGTTTCGGAGATTGCGTACTCGCGCGCCATGCTCATCGAGTGGGAAGCTGTCTACGACCTCATCACTCTCCTCAACGGTCTCGAGGCCGGCGTGCCGAAGAAGCCCCTCGTCGACGCTATTCCAACCCGCACCGTCCCCACCAACCCCTCCCCCCACCAACAACCGCCGGCCGCCCCGCAAGGCACCAACCCGGACAACACATCCGCGGCCCCGCCCATCATCGAACGCCCCTACTCAGCCGCCGACTCCCTCCCGCCATCCCCTCCGCCGCCCCCGCCGCTCTCCGCGCCAGCCTACAAATTCCCCTGGTCCGGCATCAAAGCCCAGCTCTTCACCATCCTCGCCACCCTCCTCCAGCCCCCGCCCGGCCAGTCCTCCCCCGGCAACCCAGACGTGCAGCTGCAGATGGTGCGCCACAACGGCATCGTCCCCCTCCTCAACTGCTGCGCCTACGACGACCACAACCCCTTCGCCAAGGAGCGCGTCACCATCTGTCTCAAGTGGCTCCTCGACGGCTGCGACGCCGCCAACGCCTTCTTCCGCGAGCTCGTCAGCATGGCCCCGGCCCCCAACCTCAAGCCGCCGCCCGGCGGCGCCACGACGAGCACCATCCGCGTCGACGGCATCCAGGGCGAGGTCAAGGTGCAGGTCCGTTCGAGCACGGCGCCGGACGTCGAGGGCGGGGAGGGCGCCGCGCGAATCCGCGCGCACGATCCATACGGGCTCGCCGAGGGCGCGAGAAAGCTGAATCTCGGCGTGAAGGAGAGCGAGCCGTTTAATGAGGATGACTTCATGTGATGCGCGGCTGTTCTGTGCGGAGGTGTGCGAGTTTTGAGATACCTGGTGTAGAATTATGAATGATACCACTAGCTTACCAACATGCTACTCGAATTACCGGCCCACAGCTTGATTAGTGACATGCTACTCAACGACCGACACGTGGCTTGAGCACTGAGACGTGGACCACTGGGAATGTGTTTAGCAATGATCATGTGCACAAGCGAAGATGAAGATATTTGCATTAAAAGCCGAGTCTTCTGTCTAAGTGGTAGAATATGTATAGTCGAGGACGGAGCTGGGTATCACGGGAGTTGTTCTCTTTGCGAAGAAGAAAAGAAAGAAAAAGAAAAAGGTCAAGTGAAACGTCAAACCCCGAATGCCCATCTGCAAAACGCCCTAGTATGCATGCAGTCTCTCTCACGGAAGATGATGTCTAGTGCACGAGCTCCATGTCCAAGACACCTGCTCTTGTCCGGAGAGCTCGTCGGCCCTCCCTCCGATCAGGCCGAGTTGGTCGACCGGCGCCAGATCATAAAGGCAGCAAGGCCGGCACAGGCAGTTGCTCCGAGCGCGACATATAGCGGCGTGCGGTCCACGGGCGGCTCTTCGCTTCTGGGGAAGGCGGTGCTGGGGTTCGTGGCCGCCTCGGCGAGGGCGATGAAGAGCTCAGAGATGGAGCCCCAGGTCACAGAAACATGGAGCGGAGCGCTCATCATGAGTTCATGGGTGTACTCATCGGGCTGCTGCTCGCACCGCTGCGTCGTCTTGTCGCGGTCCGCTTTGAGGGCTGTGTAGACGGCGGGAAGCTCGTCGAGATGAGGGTAGCGGCGACGCAGGTCGACAATGTGACTGAATGAATCAGGGTTAGACGAGTCGTATGCGTAACAGACGAGATCGCAAGCGTTGAGCTTGGCCTGGTTCTCGAGGATGGCCGGTTCGAGCTCACCGAGCTCCTCAAGAATCAGGTAGCATTGCTTGCCACCATGCAGCTCAACACTGTTGACGGCGCGGCGAGGCTTGATGGAGGGGCGGTAGAGCGGATCGAACGGACGGTTAAGGAACGCATCCAACAGGGAAGATTTGCCAGCGCTAGGCGCACCGAGAACGTAGCACAGAACAACGTTCCGCTCGACGCGGCCAGGGCGCTTTCTCCTCTTGCGAGCCTTGGTCACTTTGAGAGCAGCTGTCGTCGTCTCACGAGATGTCGCTGGTTCGAATCCTAAATGTGCGAGGTACTCCAGGGTTGTTTTCGGTTCCATAAAGGTTGTCATGCTCCACTGAGCCAACCAGCCTTGCAGGGTCACATAGCCGGCCTCATTGCGAACAGTCGAGGAGGGGAAGGACGTTTCCTGCCAGGACTGAGGAAGCCCCGGCGTCGGCGCGAACAAAGCCTCCAGCTCGTCGTCGCTCAGACCACCATCGTTGTCCTTGTCGAAAAGCAAGAAGAGGTCGACGAAAAAGCGGTAGCCAGCAGGACTGAGCTCGGCAGACGAGTATTCGGGCACTTCGAACTTGGGGTGGAGGAAGCTGTCTTCCAAGCTCAAACTGTCGGTGTAGTTGAACTTGCGCAGAATGATCCAGATAGTCTCGTGGCGACCTTTTTCAGCGTAGAGCTTGTTCAGTTGTAGGAATCCCATTTTGTCGATGCCCTTCTCAGGACTGGTCTCTGGGGCTGCTTTCGACACTGACTGCTTGATGTTGTCGAGGTCTTCCGAAGTCAGCGGTTTATCGAAGCAGCGAGACTGGAAGTCGTGCATCTCTTGGTCGTTCAGGAAGCCGTCTTGGTCCTTGTCGCACAGATAGAACACCCGCTTCAGAGCGTCTACACAAGCCGGCTTGAGGTTCCCCTCCTTGTAGTCGAAAAGAGGGGCGATGGGGTGGGTGACGGCCTTCTGACACAGGAAGAAAACTTCGTTCACATTACGGTGTTCCCTCGCGCTCGACCGAATACACGAGTCGATCTCGCGAAACTCAGCCATGACGGGTAGCATCTCGCCATCCACGACTTGCGGCGTGTTGACGTCACCGGTCAGGTCGGACTTGTTGGCACAGAGGACGACGGGGACATTGACACCAAGGGACCGAAAGTACGGCATCCAAAAGAGCGCGACGCGTTCATAGCTGTAGTGGTCGGAGTAGACGAGGAGGATGACGTTCGACTTCCGGATCTCCTTGCGTAGCGTGGTTCGATCTTGTGGTCGGGCAGAGGTGTCGACAATGGACGTGGTGACATTGTCAGGTGTGCCGAGTTGAGGTGGTATGGTGATCGGGGGCAGGACGGCTTGAATCTTGTTCTGGATGAAGACGTCCTTCACGAGAGAAGCTATGAGGCTGGACTTGCCGGTGCCTTCGTCACCACAGACACAGATGCGCACTGTCGATGCCGAGATGCGTTAGTGGATGGAGGGCTGCTCTGCGTCCAGGTGATCAGGCCACATACCAGAAGCCATGATGGGCGGTAGCAAGGAGGGCTCAAGAGGACTTTACTGCGTGGCCATGGCCAGGTGTTCTGATGGTCTTGTATGTCCAAGAGGATCAGGAGCAAGGCTATTGCACCTGTTGGCGTTGGACAGCTAACCCAAGAATGAAGTGTTAGACGCGGACCCGCGACCGACCGGGAGGGAGCTCGAGTGGAGGTGACAGGGTAGAGATCGGGCGTGGTGCCGATTGCTGGGGATAGAGCGTTGGGTTCGTTAGGTAAGCCAGCAAACGGGTGGGGCACCATGTGGTTCCACTCACTATTGGTGTCGCGGCGTATTTTGAGGCAGGATGTTATTGTGTTCCTGAGGGGACTTGACTGGAGAACAGGAACAGCTCAAGTCAACATGCTTGGAAAATTCTCGCTGATTCATATTCCACTATGTATACTGAAAACTTGCATCTAGTGTTCTTGAAGCGTCACCATCGGTCAGGCTTGCTGCGCGGCATCGGTCAGAACCAGAGGACGTTTGTCACATAACGTCCCTCTGTCTGATGTTTGACCCCCCGCCTGCAGACCCGATCAAGCCATGGCAGTGTTCATAAAATTGCAAGATGCGCATTTTCAACGTAATTTGAGCTACACGCGTCATGTATGATCTTCGTGCGGCATGGCTTGCTGGATGGCTGTGGCTTGGTGGACGCATCAAGGTTCTTGAGTGAAAGACGGAAGAGAACAGGCCGTGGTTCGCAATACTAAGAGACTTGTGTGATCTGACACTCATGACGGAGAGAACTCTGGAAACGAAATAGGCGATTCGTGGCATGAATGCTACTTGGTGCCAAACTTCCTACTTGGCGATGCAATGTCGTCGCGTGGAGATGGAGAGCAGTCATACGTTATAATCTCGTGGGGTGTTCGAGCAAGTAGGCGAACTGGCAAGAGTCTGCTCCATCCAAGTGAAGGTCAAAGGCGAAGGCACCATCTTGTCACTACCTCGGAGCTATATCCCTTCGTAGAGCCGAAGAGATGGCTTTGTGATATAGTAAGACAGATCCAAGTCTTACTGACAGTCATTTCTCACAACGTCACAAAGGTGGATGACCAGGCAGGCCCTTCGTCACACATGTAGGTAAGCGAACACGCAGGTAGAGAGGGTCGGGCCAGGTTACCGCCTCCAGCGCATCCTGCACAGCGGATAATCTTGCTGTGCCACGAGGGGACAGACGCCAGTGGGGCGACGCCGTGGTTGGTGCGAATGGTCAGGTCATTCAATCGTGAGGTAGCCTGCCTGAACAAATGCGGATTTGGGTTTGAGGGAAACCATGATCGAGATGCTCCGGCCAAGACGCACAATGAGAATTTTGTACATGGTTGCAACACCCTCAAAAGCCCGTTCTTTGATTCTGATTTCTACGAAAAACGACAGCCAACCCGCATCCTTAAGATCATCGCTACCCCACAAACCACGACCCCCCCCCCCAACAAGGCCCCTCCCATTACCACCACCAACACCACCACCACCACCACCACAGCTCCCAACCCGGCTGTCAGGCACCTGGACCCGGTCAATGCAGGCATCCTCCCACCAGTCAGGGCCTGCGCTAGCCTCGACCCCAGGTTTGCCCTTGGCCGCGGCGCAGTTCTACTGGATTCGCCTGACGAGGGGACAGACCGGACAGGACAGACTCTAGAGGTCAATCCATGTCCAGGCCCAAGGTCTAGGTCCACGTCGAGGTCCACGTACAAAGCCAACCGCCTCTCTTCATACTTGGCCTATATTAACCCAACATCTCCACCGACCTCGTCTTCGTCGTCTGCGACCACCGCCTCTGCGACCCTCCCGACACACCTACAACCTGCGTGCTCCAGGGCTCTCCAACTTCTGCAGCGAGCAACGCCGCCCACTCGACCTACCAACCCCCGCTATCGACCTTCCCCATTTGATCGCCTCGCCGATTGCGCTGCTCTGTCGCCCCAGCGGTTCTCTCCCCCTGGCAGTGTCGACTCCCAAGCGCTGCGCGATCCCACCGTCTGTCTCGTCGCACACATCGTGGTCGGCAGGCATTGACGAAGCACGACATATCCACTCGGCACAATCCACATTCGCCATCAGTCGCTCAGAGTGCGCCACCTGCGTCTTTTCTGCCGTGTTGCGACAGCGAATGCAGTAGCCCGCAGTCGAAAGCCGAACGCCTCTTAAAGAGACACGCCCCCCTCTTCTGTCCGCTCACGATGTTGTTAGTCTTTCCTCGTCGGCGGCGTCCCTTTTGGTGCGGGAGGGATTGACAGGTGACTAACCTCACTACGTATTTATTAAAGCAGCGTTCTTCCTCCTCCCCCACGGTATCCCCAGGCCGGCGCCTACGTCGGCCTGGGCGGTCCCGGAGCCATGCCCATGATCGAGACGAACAATACCGTCACCAAGCCGGAAGGCCCCGAATATCAATTCCTCGTCGGCGAGGGTGAGTGGCGACTGCGCCTAGGAACGGAAACGCGCAACCCGCTGACGGCTACATCTCAGGCACCTACGTCTTGAAAGAAGACCTACACCTTGCGACTCCTCCTCCTCACCCGTCCGAAGCTCCGATCATCAACCCCAATCCGCTCGCCACAAACCCGCAGCCCGCCAGCGTCGGCACCAAGGTGTCTCTCTTGAGGCTAGATGTGCGGCCGCCTCCGCCGTCCTTCTACCGAGGCCCCTTCGCGAACGGCCTCTCGTCCCTGGCCAATACGAACACGAGCATACAAGAACACCCGAGCGAGCGTTACTCGACGGAGGCCGGCATGAGCAGTGATGGCGGGAACGGCTCTCTCAGCGATGCGCCCCAGACGTCCATGACGCTCGTATCGGCGCCGGCCTTTGGCGACGGCAACGCGGCCCTGGCACCCATCAACCCTAAGGATGTCGGCAAGAAGAAGAAGCCAAAGAACAACATGACCAAGAGCAACTCGTCATTCATCTCCCGCGTTATCGTCAACGAGAACCTCTCCAAGAAACTAACCGACAGAAAGCCGGAGGGTGTCTTTTGCTTCGCCAACATCAACCGTGCCTTCCAGTGGCTGGACCTGTCGGCCTGGCAGAAGGTACCTATCGCATGCGTCCTCGGATCCAGGAGCTGAAACTGACAAAGCGCAGCAAGATTATCTGACCAAGATTCTGTTCACCAGGGCACATTGCTTGTGCCACGACATCAACCCCGTGACGAAGAGCCTGGGCCACATTGACGTGATCATGGGCTTCTCCACGGGCGAGATCATCTGGTGGGAGCCAGTGTCTCAGCGCTACACGCGTCTGAATAAGAATGTGAGTTGTGTTGAGCCGCCGTGTTTGGGACCGTAGACTCACGTGTGGCAGGGCATCATCAACGGCACCCCCGTGTCCGAGATTCGGTGGATTCCCGGCTCAGATAACCTCTTCCTCGCGGGCCACATGGATGGCTCGCTTGTGGTGTACGACAAGGAGAAGGAGGATGCGCCTTTTGTGCCCGAGGAGGAGCTGGCGACGAACGGCGTGGCCAATGGCGACACCGACGCCACCGACTCTGGCGAGTCCAGCGCGCCCAAGAACGTCAATCCGAACACGCGAATCCACATTTACAAGTCTGTGCACTCCAAGAACCAAAAGGTCAACCCGGTAGCGGCATGGAAACTTTCCAATCAGCGCATCAATGCATTTGCCTTTAGCCCTGATAACCGCCACCTGGCCGTGGTCTCCGAGGATGGCTCGCTGAGGATCATTGACTACCTGAAGGAGGAGTGAGTATCAGCTATTCGGAGTCTGAGGGATGACGTTGACAAGAGACCAGGCTGCTCGACCTTTACCACTCGTACTACGGCGGCTTGATCAGCGTGTGCTGGTCGCCTGACGGCAAGTATGTTCTTACAGGCGGACAAGATGACCTGATCTCCATCTGGTCTGTCATCGATCACGCCATCATCGCTCGCTGCCAAGGCCATCAGTCCTGGGTCACCTCGGTGGCGTTTGACCCGTGGCGATGCGATGACAAGAACTACCGGTTCGGCAGCGTCGGCGAGGACCGCAGGTTGTGCCTATGGGATTTCAACGTCGGCATGTTGAGCAGGCCAAAGGCGGTATGTACCTTTGTTCCACAGTCTTCGGTGAGCAGAATCTAACTTCTCAACAGGCGTCCGTCCGCCAACGAGGCTCGATTTCTTCTCGTTTCCCCGGCTCCACGTCGCTGCAGCGCCTCGAGACAGGCAACACGACGACTAGTGGACGTCTGCGGTCCAACTCTGCCCTCTCGACGGCGGATATCGATGACGACGAGGAGGGCATCGTCCACCCTGTGGAGCCCCGCTCACACACTGCCATGCTCCCGCCTGTCATGGTATGATAGCTCACCCTTGAGGACATGACACTGCTGACACGTAACGTAGTCCAAGGTCATCCACCCTAGTCCCATGTGCTGGCTCGAGTTCACCGAGGACTACATCATGACGAGCTGCAAGTCTGGTATGTTATGATTTCTTTCCAACCGTGTCTGGAAGTGTGGGCTAACGCTATCAAAGGTCATATCCGCACCTGGAGCAGGCCAACAGAGTCAGCGGTTCCAAAGGACGGAGCAACACAGCCTGCGAAATAGAAAATGATTTAAAACTTGGGATTGGATGAATTTCTGTGGACGGCGGGGTTCGATTTGACCCTTGTTGTTCCTACCTAAACAATTTGTACATATGAATGCGATATTAGAGGGAGGTCCGCTGGGCTTGATCCCGATGGCTGCGGCAATTTGAAGTTGAGTTGGGTTCCGACAAGATTGAGTCTCGTTTTCACAGTGAATGCCGTACCTGAGAATTGAAGCGTCTGCCTCGGAAGTACCTCACAGAGGCCGACCTTGCTTCGCCTTGTTGACAATTTCTGAGTCTGGAAAGAATCGGCCTCCTCGAGTACTGGAATGATTACGAAGTGATGGGGTGATGATGATGGGGTCCCAACCAACGCAAAAGGCCCGCGCTGACAGTCTCTACGGCTTTCTCCGCACATTGTGTTTGCTGCCTTGCTAGTCCTTGTCCTCGCGTTCTGGTTCCAGTCTATAGGTCGATTGCATATGGTATATGCCTGGGTGGGGAGCAACCTCTTGCTCAGGTGGGGGTCAAGCATGGGCACTGCAATGTTGCAGGTGACACGATGAGATGAAAGAGAGCGTCCCCACGAGCTCCAGTCTCCATCCCACCCAGCTTTGCTTGGCAGTCAATTCCCACCCTTCTTCATGCCGATGAAATGGCTTGCGGAGCGGCTCCGTTACATCGGTGCGCTGAGCGACCCCGTGACCTGGCTACCTTACTCGGAGTCACCAGACAGGCCAATTATCTGTAAGTTTTCGTTTGCATAGCGAGCCATGTAGGCGTCGGTGCTTGATTCATGGTGTGAGTGGCCTTCAAGCGTAGCGGGCTGGCCCCTGAATGGACTGACGTTGCAGCTACGAGCACCAGAAGGGCTTTTGTAAAGCCTTCCAAGCACAAGCAGGCGGATTCTGGAATTGGGATCATAGAGTCTGAGCCATTGATCTCAACTCAAGTGTTGGAATTCAAAATTATCAGATGCCTTCACACCATCTCATCATGTTACATAGTCATGGGAGCAAAATTATCACATGGATACTGCCAGTAGGTCGTACGTCTTGTCTTGGTAATAATAGGTCAACGCTCTACCCAACCAAAACACCACCCAATACAAAAACATTATTTAACATGAATAATCCATCGACGAATCAGGCTGAAAGGTCGTTCCGTCCTCTACTCCTTGATGACGGCCTCGTCCTCGGCAAACTGATCGACGCGCGTGCTGCCGAACTTGCGAGCGCTGACCTCCTGCTCGAACAGGATGTCCAGCTCACCATAGGTGCGGCCCTTGGTCTCGGGAAGGCGGAAGTAGGCCCAGATGAGGATGAGGACGACGAGGCCGGCCCAGAAGAGACCGGTCTTGGCACCCCAGTTCCAGGAGTTGACGCCGAGCATGCGGGGCATGAGGACGTTGTTAACGAGCTGTGTCATGTCAGTTTTTGGTCTCGAGTGGACGTTGCAGAAGGATGAAACTTACGCCTGCCATGTTGTTGAAGTTGCGGGCCAAGACGATGGTCTTAGCCTTGAGACGGGTCGAGGGAAGCTCGGCCACAAGGGTGTAGCAAAGAGGGCCAACAGTCATATCATACATGAAAGTGTCTATGATCACAGTCAGTAAGCTGGCATGGCCGGGTGGCTGACCTAAGAGTGTGGCTTACAGAAAATAAGGAGGCTGCCGATAGCCCACGACGGACCAGACATGGAAGCCGGAGCAAATCCGAGGCCACCAATAATCACGAGAATGATCAGAAGGGAGCCCATTCCGCCGAGGTACATTGTGCGACGGCCGAATTTCGTCATCAGGACCCAAGAGAGAACGACACCGATGGCACCGACGGCGTACTGGATCAGGTTGAAGGTGAAGGAGTTCTCCGCCGAAAGGCCGGCACGCTCGTAGAACTGGATCGAGTATCCCATCATGGCGCTACCGCAAAGGTTCTGCGCAGTGTACGAGATGGAGGCAATCTCCGTGCGCCTGAGGTCAGACCTCTGGAAGGCGTGCCAGTAGTTCATGCCGGCGGAGTGCTCCTCTTCAAGTTCGTTCGTCGCCTTGATCATCTCGAGCTGGTCGTCCACGTTGAAGTCAACACCGGACTTGGGTGAAACAAGGCTCATGATGGCACGCTTGGCATCGTCGAATCGGCCTTGGCGGACGAGCCACCAGGGAGACTCAGGAGCGAAGATGGTTCCGAGGATGATGAAAGGAGGCCACGCCCACTGCAGAGCAAAGGGGATACGGTAGGCCCACTGGCCCTGCATGGAGAAAAGACCACGGAGAACACCGGCGGCAATCAACTGGCCGATAACCCAGCAGAGGTTGACGTATGCCGTGAGGTACGGGCGAAGGACGACGGGAGCGATATCAGATGCGTAGGCGAGGGTCAAAGTCTGGAAGATACCCCAAGGAATTCCAAGGACAATCTGGCCGGCGAGAAGAGTGTCCAGGTTCTGAGCGAAGAAGGGAATAAAGAGAAGCTAGTTGTAACGTCGTTAGTGTGTTGTTCGGACTGATCTTCGGTTTCAACCATCTTGTGATGAAGCCACAACTCCCAGGACCTCAACTTACGGCGATCATCATAAATTGTGAGACAAACATGGTCCTACGGTATCCTATAGCGTCGGAAAGGTACCCATTGATGTAGAGGCCGATGATCTGTCCGCATTGTCCGCCGACCTGGATGTATGTCTGCCAGTTCGCGGAGATGACTTTGCCTCCTTTGCCGTCCGGCTCGTTGCCGAACTTCTCCTGGAAGCTATGGGGCACGTAAGCATGTGGTCTGCTTTTAATCCAGCACCGAGGTACGGCAGAACCACCGCAAACACCACTGCCAATGCCACCGCCAATATCTCAGGTACCTTTGGTACCTGAGATCAAGATGAAGGGCAGGAAGGTGAGACTTACGCATCGTAGCCGTAGAAGGCTCCCATCAGAGACAAATCGTAGCCCTCCATGATGATGGCAGTTGAGAACAATAGACTAAAGAGGATCGCCTTGGGGTAGAGCTTGAACGAGTCCCTGAGAGTCAAGTTGTGCTCACGCGTAGTGGCATTGCGAGCATCGTCACGAGCCTGCTCATGGTGCTTGACATCACCTCCATGAGGTAGGTTCTCGACCGCAGCCTCGATCTTGGAGTCGGACGTCATGTTGGTAGTTGTTCTCGCCTCTGGAGAGATGGATGAAGATGAGGAGTCGAGTGAGGAGTGAGTGGTGATCTGCTGAGGCAAAGCAGTGTCCATTGTGCGGGGGACGACTGGAGATCTTATAGATCTCGGAACTTGGACATGTCTCGTAAGACTGCGGGATGGTTGTGAGGGAGAGATGGGGTCGAAAGTGGAAAGTTTGGAGATTTCCAGCTTAACGGAAAGGAGACATCAGATGGACAGGGTTCTCCCACGGGGCCATGACGCGAAGAGACTTACCCCAGACGAGTCTTTCGCCTTCCCCAGGGGAAAGAAAGGAAAAGGATTGGATTGACGAGTCAAGTCTGGCTGGTTACCCCAGACCACCTCGACCGTCTAGAACACCTGCTTAGCCCAATGGGGAAATGCGCGCTCCACGCGTCTTCGCTTAAGGCCCGGCCTCAGACAGTTTGTCGGACCGACAAGCTGCTGTGTGTGATGCATCATACGTGGTGTGTTGAGCCGCCTGTGGGCATCTCAGGGGGCTGACTTGTCGGTCCGACAACAACCAAGAAACAGAATGAGATTCCCAATGCCGGGACGCTAGTGCGGAACCTTGCCTGCCCAGCACCCCTGGTCTGGGTCACCAGACAGCCTGTTTGGGGCCGGGGAAATGCTCGCTCACCCCGACTTTCTCGCTGAATTGGAAAGCTCTCTGACCTGCAGCCATGCGTCCCGTGGGGAAGCTGTTATGGAACTAGCACCATATTCTGATCCGATGTGATGGTTAAGAATTCAGCTGACAATGTAGATCACGTCTGGTTCATGCCTACTTCAACCGCCACGAAGCAAGCCATCTTTTCTTCCCCTCTTGCCATCCCTTTTAGCAGCCAACGCAGGCACGTTTCCCGTTCTTTGAATCTTGCCCTGCCCCGAGCAACACATCATGAGTCTTGTCACTACACGCACCACCGCCCACGAGGCGTCCACACAGGCACGTCTGCCTCTGAAGCACCATGCGCCCTCATACCATCTGAAGGCTCGCGGGTGGATGAACGATCCGTGCGGTCCAGGTTACAACCCCATCACGAAAACCTATCACATCTTTTATCAATGTAAGAACAGAGCAACATTGCACATCTTCGTGGCATATAAGATCTCGGTTTTAACACAATGATAGGGAATCCGTATGGTTGTGAGTGGGGCAACATGTCTTGGGGTCATGCAACGAGCCAAGATGGTTTGCGTTGGACACATGCTCCCTCAGGCGAGCCCGCACTCAAACCGAGTGAGCCCTACGACAAGGAGGGCATCTTCACTGGTTGCTTCTGGCCCACCGGACCTCACGGCGAGAAAGACCAACTCACCGTCGTCTACTCGTCCATTGCCGCCCTGCCCATCCACTGGACCTTGAAGCATATACGCAACTCCGAGGGCGTGTCGCTCGCTACTTCCACCGATGCTGGCAAGACGTGGCAGAAGAGCGAGCTCAACCCCATCCTTGTGGGCGAGCCCGAGGGCGTCGAAGTTACCGGCTTCCGCGACCCGTTCCTCGCCGAGTGGCCTGCGCTCGACCGCATTCGCGGCGAGAAGAGCCTCTACGGCTTCTTGTCCGGCGGCGTCGTCGGCAAGGGCCCCACGGTGTTCTTGTACGCCATCCAGCCTGATAACCTCACGGAGTGGAAATATCTCGGTCCCCTCGTTGACCTAGCGCCCGGCTTCCGCGCGCCCGGTTCCTGGACGAGCGACTTCGGCGTCAACTGGGAATGTGTCAACTTTATCAGCCTGCAAGATGGTGCCCACGAGCAAGATTTTCTTCTCATGGGTACGGAAGGAGGCGTCAAGCCCAGGTACAAGGAGGGCGATGAAGAGCCCCTTGGCCAGTGGTCATCGTGGTTCTCCGGTTCGGTAGAGCAGACTGCGGCCGGCCCACGTCTGCGGCACGAGTTTGACGGTGTTCTGGATCACGGCAGCCTGTACGCGCCCAACTCTTATGTTCATCCTGAGACGCAAAAGAGGATCACGATAGGCTGGGTTCGAGAGGATGGCCTGCCAATGAGCCGTTGCAAAGCGAGGGGCTGGACGGGTTTCTTGTCCCTGCCACGGGAACTGTTCCTCTCCACGACACACAACGTGACCAGGGGCCTGAAATCACCAATCGAGGACATTCGTTCTTTCAAGGTTCTGGAGAGCGGCTCGGGTGGAAAGACTGTGCAGACGCTGGGAATCAAGCCCATGGACGACCTCCGAACACTGCGCCCCTCCCGTCCGGCAGAGTGGTCATCTCTCGGCCGGACGAGCGCTGCCGGCATCCTGCGAGAGCGGACCCGCAACCATAGCTGGGAGCTCGACGCTGTGATCACAGTCGACCCCAAGCAGAAGCGCGTCGGTTTCAATATCTGCCAAAGTCCCGACGGCGTGCAGAAGACGACTGTGTACTTCATCCCCCAGGCCGAGCAGATTGTCGTTGACAAGAGTCTCTCCAATACCGAGGCGGATGTCGACAAGTCGCTTCTCGACGCGCCCTTCACACTTCTCTACTCGCTTGAAAATGGGACGGAGAAGCTGGAGAAGCTTCGCTTGCGCATCTTCCGTGACGGAGACGTACTTGAGGTCTTTGCCAACGATCGCTTTGCATTGACCACAACAGTGTACTGCGACGATTCGTGTGCGGGCATCAACTGGTTCCTCGATGACGAGGGGTCACACAGCGTGTTTGATTCGGTCCAGCTGTGGGAGGATATGGCCGGCACGCAGGGACAGGTGCTTGATATTGGACAGCCTCATCTGTAAATAGTGGATGTCTTGTTTGTAATTATGTGCGTGGGGATGTCAACTAGACGGTAGAGCAGTCGCCTGTCTGTCGGAGTGAAGTGTTCACCGGCGGATACATGGCATGGAGTATTAGCATTAGCATGATCATTTCCAACATGCAATCCTTGAGTGCAATTGTCTGTCAAAAGTCACACATCAGTCATGAAAAAGGTCACACTCGCAGATAGCAGCGCATCTTGGTCATAGCTGGTCCATTGGCGACGAAGCCTGCGACAAAGCACCCAAGGGGACTGGTGAAAATGGCAGTCCGGGATACGACCCTCGAAGCGTGTCCATCTTCTCCTGCAAATAGACCCTGTGCTTGTCGCGCATGCGCTCAAAGTTGATGAGAAAGCGCGCTATGTAAAGGAAATCTTCAATGTGGCTCTCCATGCTCGGCTGGTTGACAGACACGGCCAGAACGTCGGCAATGGTGCTGGTGATCTCGAACAGTTTCTGGAGGATACCGCTGCCCTGTGTGCTGATGCTAGCAATGCTGTCCAGGCGGCTGACGAGGCTCCGAAGCTGTGTTGTCAGGCGTAGAGCGGGGAATTGTAATGAGAGACCCTCGTGGGTATGTGCGGGAGCCAAGCGTAAGAACCCCTTCGAGAGGGCGAGCTGCCAGAGCAGCGTCCGTATCCAGAGCCTGGTGATGAACAAATCGGCGTGCTGTAGCTCTGTGAAGCCATCGTGGCCGCTGAAACGAAGTTCGCGCTCGGATTCCGCGGCATTTATTTCATGTTGGTCAAGCTGCACCTGTTTGCTCTCGATCCAGTCGACTGTGATTTGCGTAGCCCTATCTTCTCTACCATCCCAATTCGACAAGAAAACGTCGTCGAGGATGGTAAAGAGCTCAATGATTCGATCAAAGCCGATTTGAATGTGCGCTGCAATGATTGGATCCCGCATCGGGACACCAGACTTGAGGGGAGGGAGGATGCTGGGAAAGCCTGATGCAATGGTGAGGAATCTCTCATGAATGTAGGCCTCCCAGTAGAGTCTCTGAAACATGACCAAGTCGGCTCCCCGGAGTGTCTCTGCGCTACGCTGGCGTGTCTGGACGACCTGGATCATGGTGATGGCTTCTCGAAGATGGCCGAAGCTGCGATCATAGAACTTGAGGGGCATCATGGCAATTTCAAGATAGATACACGTCATGATCCGCTTGTTGGTGATGAGAGGGGTCTCATCTAGCCGGATGAATGAGTCTGGGCCAAGGTCGACGCGCCTGTGAGCCTCCAGGCTGTATTGAAGAAGCTCGTTCATTTGCGAAGCAGCATCGCCGTGCATGGTGGCCGAGGTCTCTGTCAGAAACGCAGTCGTAGCTCCAAAAGCATAAACCAAGGCAGCGTCTTCAAAACTCTCGTCCATGGCGTCGATGGCGGCGAATATGTCGGCCGGGGAGACTGCGGGGTTGAAGGGGTAAATGATCTGTTCGAATTGCGGGAGAAGGTTTCGAAAGAAGTCTTTAGGTGGCGGAGGACCAGACGAGGATCCAAGAAGGACAGTTTGGCCAGGTGAAAGCTGGCTTCCATAGACGGCGACTGGATGCTGTGCTTGTGGAGGGGATGGTTCTCCCGTGATTTCTCCCCGAGCTTTCGCAACAAGTCTACCCCGGATGGGATTTTTGCGTCTCTCTGGCTCAAGAGTTGCGCCAACGCACCGAATGCCATGAGTCTCGCAGTTGGCACACGGCTGGGCTCCGTCGCATTTAACCTTCCTCAACCGGCACCCATCACAGGCTCGCCTGACTCGAGTCGGGTGCGCGTTGTCGACTGGCATCGAGGCGGGCAGAGGGTTCAATTGATGGGGACATGGAGAAGATGGGTGAAAACTCAGGCAGGACAGCACAAAATTTGTAAAGTTGTGTTCAGCAGACGGACTCGGGATCTGGCGCAGGTTGTCAGAGCAAGGGAGGTAGCGAGCTGAAGTGCAGCTTAAGCCCAGGCGTCTGCCCTATTCAGCCACAAAGGCTGGGACCGGCGCGTGCCGTCGGACCATGTCGTGGCTGGTACGCAGAGGTGGGGTATTCGAGGTTGCTTGATGACATCGCCTACGCGCGCGTGACATGCTTTACGCTGTACTTCAGTCGCTCGCCCGGAGTATGCTCCGTAGCTAATCATCACCCTGAATTGCTTCAGGAGAGGCATGTCGTACACTGAATGAAGACATGGCTCCGCCTCTCAGACCAATCTTACCGCTGTCGTCACCGTGCTGCTCAGTTCGCCATGAGGAGCCCTGTGATGATGCTGGGGACAGTCCCAGTCCTAGGAAGAGGCGCAAGACTATCGACGTCGCTTGCGAGCGTTGTCGGACCAAAAAGAGTGCCGTCAGTGCCCTCCTGCCTGCCTCGCATGACTCGCTCCCCGTGGTTCCGGCGGCACTGACAAATCTAGTGTGACGGCTTTCGGCCAGCATGCACTGCTTGTGTGAGGAGACATGCGCAGTGCACATACCGATCCAGCAAGCAGAAAGTCGAGGAGTACGAGACCGAGATTGAAGCTTTGCAGTGCAAGCTCCGGCACCATGAAGAGCTCGTGAAACGCCTGAGAGCCCTCCCGGAGGACGAGGCCGTCGAATCGCTCCGTTGTCTGCGTTCGATGTCCGACGGCGCCGGCCTGCCATCCCTCAGCCCCCGTACACCCTCACCCTCACTGCTTGCTGTGCCTCAGACCATGGCACCATCTACACACCTTGACCTTGATTCCGACTTCGATCTAAGAAGTCCTTATCTATCGACATGTCCCATGCAGGATCCACTCAGCAGCTCTTCGAAAACTCAAGCGGCCTTGCCATCCTTGCCCGATTTGCCTTTTTCTGAAACCAGCATCACGCAGAAAAGCTCTACCGCAGTTGCCTCGGAGTCACTGCAGATACATCCTTCACTAGTAACTACACAGATAATGGACGTGATACGCGGCGGCCCTCACGCCGGGGTAAACGTCATGCTTCCTTGCGATCCTCGCTTGACCGACTTGGACGTCACATACTGGACCAACGTCCCGATGAGCAATATCTTCGCTGCCGCTATGTTGACGGCATACACACAATGGTACCATCCTTTCTCTGCAATGTTTGACGAAAACCTCTTTCTCGATGACCTCGTTCACCATCGCCACCAGTTTTGCTCCTCGTTCCTTGTTGCTGCTGTACTGTCGACAGCCTGCGTAAGTGCTATGCCATGGCGACGAATAAAAACACTCACTCATTCGGCGTAGCAACAGCACGCAGCATTCGATGCAAAGTCCTTCGAGTATATCCCAGGTTTGACCTTTGAGTGCGAAATGTCGTGGCGGTCAGAACGACATCAACCATCCTCGCTAACATTAGCCGCTTCGCAGCTCTTCGCGAGTAGCGGCGCACTGCGAGGACAGCATTCGCTCCTCAAGGAACTGCTTTCGGACGAAAATCGCGGGGGTGCCATGTTTGAATCGGTTGATGACGATGCATGGCCAAACACACTTGAGGGCGCCACCGAGGGTCCATCAAGGGGCAGAAGTCCTGAATCATGAATTGCATGAGAGCACGTGGCTGTAGCGGCTCTGCTACTTGAGCAAGTCTACTGTCTTATAAATGAAATTGAACGATGTGTATGTGCGTGCTGAAAGAAATCCTATATCGAAGCATATCCGGGTTCGGAAAGCCTCGTAATACGTTGACCACCCTCCTTGACACATTGTTCGCGTAAATACCAAGAACGGCGGAAGGAAATCCCTGTTGAGTCATTCTCAAATCGACATTTAGAAAAGAAACAGGTCAACATTTCAAATATACTTGTTAAAGTTGGTTTGATCCATGGGCCATCATAGTTGGTGTTCCCGATCTGTCATCTCGCAACCATGAAGAGGTATGGATGTGTTATTGGTTGTAATGCATTCCTGCGGCGTCTCTTAAAGGCAAGCAGCGCTGTCTGTAGAGGTTCTTAGCTAGTCGCGGTCATCCATTCTGACAGAATTGGAGGACATCTAAAGGACTGGCGGGGTCGGAGCATGCTTGGGCAAGAGAAAGCATGTATTGCTGTCGGGTCAACTCGAGAGATTCTTGGGAGATGTCACAGGCTAATTTTCCGTAAATAACAGCCGCGAGGCCAAAAGCGAAACTGATGACAGCCAAGAAGGCCACAGTTAACGCGATCCAGAAGCTGGCAGATTCCATCAGGTTGCCCAAGTTGGCCTGGGGGATAAATTGTCTGTAGCCTGAGCGAGGGCTATCGAGAACCTTTTGCAATCGATGCAGCTTGTCACCCCAATATGGGTAGTACTGCAAGTCTCGTTCTATGAGCCTGTTGCAATTACCAAGATCGCAGAAATGTCTTTTCCCTCGCCTTAATAAAGACCGAGCCCGCTTATCGTCTTTCGGAAAAAGAAGATTGAGTGTGTCGAGACATACAACTAGGACTTCACGTTGCGGTAGATGGCGAACCTGCTGCTGAAGATTTGTATGGAGCCACAATTTGAGCTCGAATACGTACAGATTACGATTTTCGTCCTCGTCGGTGTAGTCAAGATGCTGAGAAAGATAGTTGGTCCATAAAATCTCGACCCCATAATTCCTTTCGAGATTCATTGCCGTGAGGCCCACGTCGAGTGGATCGTGACTGATACCTGGTCTGAATTTATTTTTTCTCTTCTCAAAGTAGGGTTCGATTTGCTTCAAGAGCGATGGATCCGATTTTTATTTCAAGTTGTGGACATGTTCGGGTAATTGAGCGAGATCGTCTGTCTCACTAACGCTGACTTACATCATTATGAAGGATGAGGCGAGGACCCGAAGTATCTTAGACACAGTATGATTTACATCTGCCGAGGACGCCACACCCAGTCGTTCGAATAAGCCTGCTACAGCCATATCTCTTGGCTCGTCGAGGAGGTTACGCACGAATCCCACGATGTCGGCCAAATACGGCGGTGGTGGTGGACCTTCTCAAGTCCGATGGGTAGCCGTGATCTGTCCACCCAGCTCTTTTTCAAAGACTGGCAGACGGGAACTATTGAACAAAAGTATTTCATTTTGGCTGATTGCCGGCCAAAGTTTATCGCAGAACGAAGATTCAGCTTCAAGTTTTGGGGACTTGTCATCACGTGAACCCCTGATTGGGGAGAGAAGCATTTTGAGTCGATTCTCAGACTCAAAGGCGGTACTCAAGGGATACTGGAGGTGAGTTAGCGAAACTCAGGTGAACAAACCACGAATCATGACAGATTTTAGAAAGACATGATATCCAGAAAGTCCCTATGACTCTATGTGGGTGGCAATCCTGCAGCGCGAGACTTCCGGCGGGGCAGGCTGCCCTCAAGTAGAAGTTCCAGTGACTGGCGTGTTTCACAGACGACCGCCAATCGCTTTGCAAGGCTTCTCTCATCGGTCTTGTAGGTGCATAGGTTTCTGCAGCCACCATTCAATATCGTTCCGTCGGTCAGCAGTTGAAGCCTGATGACGCTCCTACGACAACTGTGAAGAGATGTTCAGCTTATGAATTATGATTCTACAAGTCCCATATATATTGTTCATTCTTCATTTTATATTCCAGCCTGCTGTACTGTCCAATATACGACGAATACACTCAACTTTCATATATAACTTCCATCCAGCACGTGAGGTCAGAAATGTACCGAAGCCATCTTCGGGCCAGTGATAATCATATCCGGGATTAATAAGTAATCTCCGTACACAAAATCCAATCCCTGTTCCCACAAATCGTTTTGGCCACTCGCTAAAGTAGTCTACATCTACGTGGAAAAAGGGAAAAAATAATAATAATGAAAGGATCATGCGGGAAATTGTCTCATTTCTGCGGGCTGCGATCTATGATCTATTTTGCGCTGTGGTCGGTGAGCGATCACTAGGCTGGTTGGGAAGCTGTCACGAAGGAATGCTTTAGAACACTGACAAAGAGATAAACAGAGGCTTTTGCCCTGTTCCTGTGTACCTACGAACTTGAGGCGGCTAAAAGCGCCACCAATTGCACACTTGGAGGCGCCAAGCTCTTTTTGGCGATGTGCGGCTGAGTTTCAGGGGTCTGACGATGCTTCACGTGGTTGCTAGCCAAAATCCACAATCCGATCTATATGTCCTGCAAGACGGTCGCTTTTTCTTGCCCAGTTTTCGAAGTCACCTATCGGAAGATATCTGGAGTGGTCGAATAGATAGCCGGACAGGTAAGTTGCCCAGGTAGGCAGGCGTCTTAGAGAGTAGCCCAACGAGGACAGCGCTCGAGATTCAACAGGGCGCTGCCAAATATTCCTGCTCCACCATGGGCAACACGAACTCGTCCGCGTCGGACATCATCACCTACATCGGTGTCCCGCTCGCCGTGCTGGGTGTACTGCCAATTCTTTACAATACACTGGCCACTCTGGCTGCTCTCTCTCGCATCCGCCGCATGCTCCGCCACTCCCGCCTGACCGCCCTCACCCGCTCCGATGTCGTCAATCGTGTGATCGAAGTCGACCTCCCTCGCTATGCCGTAACCCCATGGCACCGCTCCATGCATCGATCTGCGTACTGGTCTTTGGCGTCTCATCCTAGCACCATCCCCGGCGGCTCGTGGTCCGTCTTCAACTGGAACACCAACACCATTGGCATTCGCACGCAGCGCGTGGAGTATGCCGACCAGTTACGTCAGCCCCAAGTCGAGGTAGCTTTTGAGGAACTCATTTGCTATCTTCTGGACTTGGGGGCTGTACCTAATGCTCACGGCTGGAGGCTGCTGAGGAATACTGGACTCTGGACGCCCGTCGGATGTGCACTCATGCAGAGTCCTGATGGAACCCACAAAGCGCTGACCGTGGCCCCCTTGGACAATTCTGACGGGCATCTAAGTCTGGCCGTTAGCTGGTCATCGCACTGGACGACAAGAGATCACACGTCGTTGCCGCCATACTGGGTTCGCTTGCCAGCACCATCTGCCGAGGCTCAGACAGTGGCACCGATCGAAAGCTCAACCGACGCGAAAGACAATCAAGATATCAAACCACGGGCCGAGGGGGAAAATATTCCTCCCCCTACCACTGTCCCGAAGAGGCTTTCTTCAAGAACCATTATTTGCAAGATTTCTTCTCAGGGTCTCATAGCCGCTCAGCACGAGCTGGATCCGGAGTCGCCATCGTCGTCACACTCCGACCCTGACCCCGAGTCACCGCTGGACAACCTTTCCATCGAGCACCTCCGCCCAGCCACGACAGCGACCTGGTTCGCAAGCGCGGCAACAGCCTACGGAACCTCCGCTCGCACCCTCCTCTGGTCTCATCGCATTCCAGAGACCCTCCTGTCCTTCGTCCGCCGCGCGTCCATCCCCTGTGGCGTTCTCGAGTTGATCTCTCTCGTCGATCCCTCGGCAACACCTGAGTGGGGGACTCTCAGCGCCGATGATTCCGAGGCGCGACGTGTGGAGCTCATGATGCGGCGTATGAGGGAGCAGAGAGGTCACATGGAGAAGGAGGCTCGCATGAGCGTCGCGGAGAGGCAGCAGGCCATCAAGACGCGGATGGAGCGCGAGAACCTCCAGAGGCTCGACGATTGTATGTTCTCCTTTCCTATTCCTTTGAACGCACTGGGCGAGCGCAACAAGCTGACATTGATCCACCCTAGTCCGCGACAAGATGCACGCGGATCTGCAGAGAAAAGAAGCTCGTCTGCTCGAAGCGCTGCAATCACCTAAGTGGACGCCCGCGCAACTGGCGCCCCACGCCCTGCGCTGGCTCAAGGAGAACTCGGCATGGGGAAGCATCTTCTCCTCCGTGCCGGTGCCTGAAGGCCCTGTTTCCTGGTCGCTGAAGCCGGTGTTGGGTCCGCTGCTCCACACCATTGTGCTCAATGATGAGCTTTCTTCCCGGCTCGTCGCGGCGCTCGAATCATGGAAGGCATGGTCTGAGAATGGAGGTATGCGCCGCGCGGACATTGATGCGCTGATGAAGGATGCCAATGGCGATAGGGAGGCCTTTGCGCTCGCAAGCCTGGTCGCCGCGGGTGTTGGTGAGGCCACGTCTGGAGATGGTATCACGGGAGCAAGGGCTGGGGATGCTGTGGGGGCTGACATGCAAGAATGCCTCGGAATGTGGCCAAAGATAAGGCTGGGATGAAAGCAAGTCGACGACTTGACGAGCGGGAGCGTTCCCATTTGATTCCAAATTATGTTTTCGTGATCATTATACTCAAGCATCGTAGTAATAAAACAGTGAGAGATGGTCTTCATAATGACCGTATTCTTCTTTTTTGGAGGTGGTGTTGTGCATGCTTCGGTTTCCTTGTAGAGGCCGTGATAAAATCCTGTCCATCTTACCAGCATACGATTGTCAAGGATCCCAAACGCCTGTTACCATACTCGCGACCAGTCTTCTGTCCGGACTTTGCTTCGAGAGGTGTATCATGACAGTCAAGAAAATTGAAGTCAGCAGTAGAGATGACCAGGCGAGGTACACAAAATTACGTACGGGCAAGGAGGTCGCAGAAGAAGTTCCACTCCCCGGTTCACATTTCAGCGTTAAGAGCTTCAGATGAATGTAGTAAGCTCAGCAATCGCATCTGCCGGCTTTTTCTGTCGACAGTATATCGCAAGGTCCCACGATTCATGATATGAGGGTTCAATTAGATTCCCAGAACCATCCTGGCTGGTTTGCGTTGTTGTTTTGTAGTACAGCACAAGAAGCCCCGCTAACGTAAGCCACGGATGGCTCCATTGAGTTGAAGTCGACCGGGATGCGGCCGGAGTATTGGCCGTGAAGTCCTTGCCGATGGATGTATTGGTACTCGGGGGGGTATTGAGTATCGACGTTGCTGTCCTCCGGCGGAGAATAATAAGCTGCTGTCCCCGGACTCATTGTTGCCCGGTATGTTTGGCTTGGCCCACGCCTGCTCTGCTGTCTCATTCTTTGAATGTGTGCGCGCGGCATGCCGTCCATGGAGATATCCGGCAAGGTCGAACGATTTAAACAATTAAGGGGCACTTCTTCAGTCAACTCTCGTTCAACGCCGACCTGTTCTGGGAAACTCGATGCAGAAGATGCTGGAGATGGGGGAAAAGTGTAAGACAACGGCGGGAGCGTTTCATGTCTCACTGAACAAACGGTTTCGACCTGCGTTTGCCTGGTATAGCACTCCCTGTAAGCGTGTCAGCGGCAATTCTAGATCAAGCTGGATGACGAAATAGTCAGACAGAGAAGCGCGACCGAATCAGAGACGTACAACGATGTATTTGTGTTGCGGTTAAGCTCGTCAATCTCTTGCCTGGATAGCTCGGCGTCCTCCCAGAAGTTGCGTGAGCGTTCAATCCCACTGTTGTTACTCAAAGTTCTAGTTGGTGTTATGCTCTGTCCAGCCATGAAGCGGAAAGGAGGGTTTGGCGAGCTCTCCTGCTGGTGGTTATCAAGCTTCTCGGCGCTGGCCTTGGGGGTCTTGTTCTTGGTGAGAGTATATTTCCCGATACCCCATCTCTTGAATCTTCCTCGGTAAGCTCGTCTCCTGCAAGGTGTGATTTCAGCATTCCATTCAGGACGGAACATCTTTGTCAAATAAAATTGAAAGTCTGGCTTACGATGCTTTGAATTGCCACTCCCTCTCCATTATTTTCATCACCTCGTCAAGCGTCTTTCTGTCATCTTTGTAGAGCTTGATGATCTCGCCCTGGTGCTTGTCCCATGGTTTGCCCATCATACGAGCTAGCCGCCTGCTCGGTCTGAAGCCCCGCGAGTCGAAGCACAGGAAAACTTTACGAAGGCGGAAAGTCTGAGCTGGTGCAGCTATGCTCTCAGAACCCCATGCTGCAAACGGTAGGCGTAGAAGAATATCAGCCGAAAGAGAAGCCATTTCACTAGAGAACCTATCGCGGTCGAAGCCCCGCCTTATAGGTATACTAATGGTGCACTGCCCGGACAAGGCTACGAGTCACATTAAGGCTGGGCTATCGCACGTCCAGCGAGGCAGCCAAGCAAGCCGGAGGCGGGCGTATAGGATGTCAGCCAGCACCAGCCGCTCGATGTAGTCCGCGCACAAGGCAGCCAAGGTGGCGAACCGATGACCCAAAGCTGGTACTTTCGGTGTCAACGAAAGAGGGGAATAAGAAGGCCCTTCCTCGCCATCTGACGGTCACATTTTTCGATAACCTTTGCCCAGAATGCACCAGAGCCTGCATGCCCCCAAGTTCTTCTGCCGAGAAAACGCAGCCAATCTCGTCTATTGGCTCAGGTCTCGTTGAAAAACGCCGTGCAGACGTCCACCTCGAGTAATGGCAAGGCAGCCAGCGAGCCATCTCTCCTCTCGCCCAGTTCAAGGCTCGCTCCTTGCAAACAGGGCGGCCGACAGAATGCCAACGCACCCATTTCCTCCTCCCCTTCCCTCCATCTCAAGATCAGATCACTTGAAAAGTCTTGTGTAACGCTATTGTATTCGATGGCCACCTCGGGAGTGAAGTCCCTCGCCGTGTCGAATTAGAAGTTGCAGTGGAGTGTCTGGTCCGCGCGCTCAATTCTATGCACCAATTGGAACCACATCATCGGCAGGTGTTTGACCTTGGTGAGCGCCTTGTCGTTATCTCTAGCGAGGCAGAATGGCAATTCCTTTCCAAAACACCTACCTGCTGTACATCGCGACCGCATGCCTTCATTGCGAGATCGCACGGCCCGAAAACGGCGTGCAAGGCATCACGCTCGATGGTTTGCCTGGCCTTCGCCCGTCACACTGCAGTCTTTCCGTCAGCGACTCGAGATATCGCAGCCGCGGCTCCGCCGACATGGCCAGCCAGACCGCCCCCCCCCCCCCCCCCCACATCATGTCGTCAATTCGCGGCATCATGGATCAGCAGGCCTAGAATCGGCGATGAAGATCCCTAACGTAGCAATCGTCTACTTCCTTCAGCAGTTCTGAGACATGTCACTGGCGACGTGGCCTTCGGTAAGCAACGATTGCTTGATGCGTCTCGCCTCATGATGTCGACAATGGCTTTGATGACCGGAACAGGGATCCAGGTGGGAAGGGGGTTGTCATTGGCGTACACACCGTTCCACAAGAACGGGCTTTTGGTTCATTCTGATGACGGATCAAAATATCTGTCACCTACCACCTACTAGGACGGCCTTGCAAATGATGTTGATCCGGGCCATCAACCGGACCCGGGTCCAAAGCATCGGGCCGGCAGCGAAATGAGAAAAGCAAACGTCGAACAATACGCAAAAGCTGCGTTACAGCATTGAACAGAAAATTGTTGTATTTCAAGGTCTTGGTTGTATTATCTCGAGCAACTTTGTTACCTGGCTGGTCTGTCAACCCTGCTCCCTACACTAGCTCCTCGCAGAGAGACAAGGCGAAGAGAACAACGCCGCGCTCAGCGTTAAAAAGTAAAGTAAGTATCACATTTCAAAAGGATGAGTCGAGGTCCATCGTAGTGGATGGTCTGCCCGCCTCACTTTCCGCCTTGCCCTAGACCGCATGTAGAGAAGGCGTCGGAGCGAACCGGGCGACCGATCCGCCTCATTTATGACAGAGCCTCAACTTCCTAGAAAGCAGGGGGGGCAGCTCCAGCCTTCTCAGGAGCCGGTGCTGCGGCTGGTGCCGCCTGAGCAGGAGCAGCCTGAGCAGGGGCAGCCTGCACAGGAGGCTTCTCGTCCGCTGCCGCCAGTACTCCAGATTGCTGTGCTTCGTGACCTGCGACCGGCGAAGTGGGACCTGGCGGCGTGACGGCAGCAAACTTGGCATCCTGATCCACGACGGGCGACGACGGTGACGTCGGCTCTGCGGGGCCGGTAGCGCCGGCAACGCCCCTGATAATGTCGAACCAACGCTGCGCGTCGGAAGGGGTGTGGGCCTTGAAGGCCAACTCGGCAGTGCCGGTAAGCTTGGCGCTCATGCCGCCGCTGCGATCCTTGCCCTTGACGTTAAACTTTTCGCCAGAAGGAGCGCCAATGATGGCGTCGGGCAAGTAGATTGATAGTTCGGGCTTGGGGTCGACGCGAGCATTATCCGAGTCCTTGAACTCGTGAAGGAACTTGGAAGGTGTGACAACATAGTAGCCGGTCGTGTAGCCCCACGACAACTTGTTACGCGACTTGCGCTCGAGCGATCCCTCGATGAGGGACTTGGTGGCCGGGTGGGACATGTTGGGGAACTGAATGTCGTCAACGGAGCGGGCGGGGTCGTTGGGGTTGATGAGGCGGTCAGCGGAGCGGGTGGTGAAGCCGCGCCACTCGAAATCGGGCACGACGGATTGGATGGATTGCAGCATGTCGTAGTGCAGGGCGCGCGTCTTCTCGCCCTGGCCGCCGGCGAGGAGGGTGAAGGACTCCATGGCCTGCTGAATGACCTGGACAATATGTGCCTCAAAGGCTTGCGAGTTGTTCTGGACAGCAAGTAGATCATTGCGGTTGTTGTTCTCCTCAATGACCTGCTTGTGGAGGCGGTGCAGGACACCACGGTTGACGACGTAGGGATCATCGGAGCCGTGGATCTTGCCACCAGAGGACTCATAGGATGCGGTCTGTTGACCGAGAAGCTCGATATGCTTCTGAGTGTTGTTGCGGGCCTTCTCGACTTCCTTGGCCGTCTTCTCAACACCGCTGGTCAACTCTTTGCTCTTGGCCTTGATCTCCTTGTGTAGACGATCAAGAACGGGCAGGACAGAGCCCTTGATCGACTTCTCGGTCTCAATGTTGGTGTTGATGAGGGCCTGGGTGTTGGAGCGCATGTTCTCGAAGTAGCCAGCGATTCCACCGAGAGACTGGTCGAAGTGGTGACCCTCCTTGAGGGGGTTCGAGATGGTCTTGAGAGCGCGCTCATATTCCTTAGCCTGAGCGCGGTGAATCTTCTCAATCGCGCCCATGTAGTCCTCGAGATAACCAACAGCATGCTTCCATGCCTGAAGGCGCTCGCCTAGGAGGCCAGCGGTCTGTAGTTTGGTAGTTAGCCTTGGCTTCGAAGAGGAAGCTTTTGAGCGGTAAGGGGAGGGCGTACGCTGGTGGGGTCAGTGTCGGAGATGGCACCATCGTTTGTGCTCGCGGTGGTCAGGCCAGTGGCCGCCCTCGATGGCAGCTCGGTCGGAGTAGCGCTCATAATGTCGGATTTGCCGTGGTGTTGATCGAGTGGAGGAGGTGAGTCGCAGGAGAGAGGAGAGAACCGTTCTTTCCGGGTCAGCAATGCAACGAAGAAATCCGGCAACGACGGCCAAGCAAAGACGACTCAACGAGGAGGAGAGGGAGGCATCCAGGGTCTTGAAGCTCGTCTCCCAAGCCCCCCATGCCACCTCTTGGCCTCGCTCTTTGGGGCAAGGCGGTGACCTGATCCATCTACGGACGCACCAAATACGACTGGTCCACAACAGCTCGGGCGCCCGGGCCAACAACCCCTCCCTCCCCTTTGGTGGTGCCTGCCCCCATCTTCCCTGCGCTGATCCCTAATGAAGAGGGGGTGGGTTCGAGTCGATACTTACAGGATACGCTTGTAGGCGAGAATGATTCAAGTGTTGGTGATGAATTACGATTAATAGGTGGTACGTGTCGAAAGGAGGCTGCCTGGATGCAGTCGAATTCACAAGAGCAGACGATGTCGAAACTCTGTTCCGCCCGCTCGACGACAGAGGGGCAGACCAACGGCCACTTAAATTGCTCGCGCCAGAACCCTGGATGACGTCAACACGTCCCTCCATTGCCTTCCGACTCTCCCTTCCTCATGCCCTTGGCCAGCGCTAACAGCAGATCGTCCCAGGTGAACCATGCCAACCCATGTCGCGACACCACCAGAACCCTCAGCTGTACAAGCTTTGTGATCTGTGTGGCTTGCTCTAGCCTCCAGCTTTGGTCGACATGTCCGCAGGTTTTGCCCCGGACCACCAATCCCCCGGTGGCCAAAGAACGGGGTCGCCGCGACGGTCCCTGCTCTGCTGGGATTCTTTCCACGATGGCTGCCCTGAAAAGCGACGATCACGCCACGGCGATGGGGTCCAACAATGCATGCAGGGCACAATTGTGTGGCTTAGACATGAAATTCAGTTCCTAACTCAGGGGATCTCCCTCACGAATATGTCAGAGGGAGAAAGAAAAAAAAAAGAGACAGAGAGAGAGAAGGAGAGAGTGAGCGAAGGGCAAGGCGTGCAACGTATACAGGAACGCCAAAACTTGTCGCTGCTAGTAGTATCGGTGGAACAACCTAGTCTGAAATGACAGTAAAGACACCACACCGCTCTTCCCAGAGCCGCTTCGCAGCAACGACCTCCTCGCTGTGATGGAGCACCATCGAGTTGGTGATGACCCACGCATGTGCCGCCATCCCCCGCCTCGGAGAGTTACTCAATCCCGGGCGTGCTGTATCATCGCCGGTAATTAGTTTCCAGTCCGCCAGCTCGTTCGTCACCGTCCGAAACAGTCTCGCCATGTCGCCGCCTTCGTGGTGGCTATTTGCCTGCAGCCAAACGTTGTACAGATCTCGTTCAAAGTACGCATACAGATCCACCGCCGTCTGGGGACAATCCAGCTGCTCCGTGACGGGCCCGCTGCTGAACGCCCAGATGATGTCCGTCAGCGCCGTCAAGACTCCCTGGCCGTAAGGGCTCACGTCTGTGAGTTGGAGGTGGTTTGTCTTGGTGAAGAACTCTTCGGGGAAGAGGGACAGGATCCGCGAAATCGGTTGCCATGCCTGCTGCATGGCGCGGACGTCATTGGGATTCGCACGGCAGGCCTCGCGAGCCCCCAGGCTCTTCCTGAGAAGACTATCGATTCTGGACCATTTCGCTGCGTCGAGACTAGAAGTCATGGTCACTCCGGGGGGGGAAACAATGTTGCCCTTCAGATTGGAAGTAATTTTAAGTGAAGCTATCAGTAAGCAACGAGGGAGCAAGCTGATGGATACTCTGGAGCTGTTATGGCATCGACGAAGAAGCCTGATTGCATCCGTGTCAGCAGCAAGCCTGATGATCCTCACGAAAGCCACCTCTCAACAGCAAGGCTCTCAGGCTCCAGAGTAACACACATTCGATGAAGCCCAAGTATGCTGGCAAGCACCCATTGGCCCGAAGAGATGCATGCCACCAGCTGATTACCCGACGGCTCCCTTCATTGCCTGTTGACGACGACAGTAAGCATGACCTGCGAATCCACGAGATACGCCATGTCATGCAATCCGGCCCATGCATGTGACATTTGCGCATACTCCACTCTATCGACCTGACAATCCACGCTTCATGACTAATGAGTCAGTGTGCCTGATGAAATGGGGTCCAGCAATCGCGCATGGCGATCATCTCATTGCGACGTTTCATGACCACGGCAGTTCTCGCCGCATAGCCTTGTACGAAGGATACACGCATTCGGTTTGACCCGATCGTTTCAAGTTGCGATCGCGCCGCTCCCTACGCGCCATCATGAGACGAACCTGTGCACATCTGCTCACCGGGACTCTAAGTACATCCCCGCTGTGCAATAGCGGTTTGTTCGATTTGCGCAGCACGTAAAGAGGGACTGTGATCAAGGAAATAAGCTTCGTTGGTATCTTCGCCCTCAAGGCAGTCTTGCTAGTACAGTATATCGCTCGTAAATCTAAGGACCCCAGCAGTCTTCTTCGTCAGAATATTTCTGAAAATCCGCGCCCATGCCCAGCAAGTCCTGTCAATTGTGAGAGAAAGCAAACGCCTCACGGCCTCATCTACTTGGCTGCTCTATAATCATCGAGACAACTGGTCCCCACGCATATCCCAAACGCCGTAGCCATGCAATTCCAATTATCGTTGCTGTTGATCCAAAATGGTGAAAAAGCGAAAATAAAACAATCGTGGCCAGTGTTGATGACCTAAACGGAAAAGAAACTTGAGTTGAGAGAACAACGACGAGACGGAGTATTTAGACGACACGATCCCGGGCTTGCATCAAATGAAGGCGTCGGTCGTCAACACCGACCTGCTGCAGGATGCTATTCATGCTCGTCGATCGGTTCCACGGATGGATGTGCCTCTCAGTCAGGGGTGGTGTTCCAGGCGCTGTGCGTGAGCCGGTAGGCACGGATTCGTGAATCACGTCCAGGGGGTCGACTTCAGGGCGGTCGCTCGGCATGGGTGTCGAAGGTGCGCTCATGGCTGTCAAGTAATCGGGCAGTACCTCACCGCGGCTCGCTGCCCGCGAGCGTGCTGGCGTCTTCAGCGCCGTAGTATAGCTGGGCACCTTGCTGAGGGTCGCCACGTCGAGGCTCTCTACGTGCTCGGGCGAGTTGCGGCCCGAAGGTCGGGGCGAGTCGTTGCTGTTCCCACCATTGCGCTCATCCTCGGCGCTATTGTGGCGTGTCAGGGCCGCAGAGGCAGGCTGCGAAGGGTGGCTCGTCGGTGGGTTCGACCAAGCGCTGATGACGTCGGTGGGTTGCATCCGCTCGGAAGGATCCAGAGAAACATTTTGCAGACGCGAAGTGAGGGCAGCGGGTGCCACGCCGTGGGCACTTGTCATACCGAGAGAGTGGAGGTTATCAGAAGAACCGGCGCGGGATTGCGCGTAGAAAGGTGAGCTGAATCCAGATTGGATACCAGGCGTCTGGAAGCCAGCTCCAGTGTCAACGTCTTCGAACAGTTGATCGAGTATGTGTTCGCCGTAGCCAGGAGGCGCGATGGTTGTGTGGTCGGATTCGGGAGGGGTAGAACCGACGGCAGAGTCGAGGAGTACGCCGTGTTCGTCGAGGGGCATGTTTGGGGAGATGAAGATGGAAACGGGAAGAGTCGCCCGAAGCTGTTCAATCGTCAGCACATTGTAGTCGCGATTGCGCGCTCGTCAGACTTACCTCTGAGACGTGGCCGTCGGGGTTCTTGAGAGCGACAACAAGCTTGAGCTTGTGTCTGATCTTAATGCCGTGGTGATTGACGTCTTGCACACACTGCTTTAGTCGCTTGGGCAGGTTGAGTTTCTTGTTGACTGTCCATCCCTCCTGGCCCGTGTCGCCGATCATGTCCTGCCAGTTGTCTTCTGCTGTGACTCCGAAACTCCACGAGGACACCTCGCGTTCTGTCCGGTGATCTCGCGAGGGGGTGCCTGGCGTGCTCATCTCGCGAATCTCCACCATCTTGATCGTAATGTCGCCCATTTCGAGGCCCTTCAGCAGAGGCGTAAATCGCATTTCCAGCGGGACTGTCGCGCCAAAGACAACGGCCTTTTGCGGTATAATGATAGAGTAGTCGACCTTGTTCGGCCAGATGTTCTCGACGCTCATGGCGTGAAGGAACTCTAGCGCCGAAGGCTCCAGTGTGCGAACAATGCGCAGGGGCTTGTACGCATGAAGGTCGTGAGAAAGCTTGCCGCGAGCTACGGTCGCCTTGAGACGGTAAGTGATGCTGGCTTCAGGGATTCCCTCGACACTCTCGGGAGTCTCGCCGGAGAGATCGAGTTTGAAAGGCCATTCATAGTTGCCGGCCTCGAGAACCTTCTTCTCGCCGTTCTGGCTCTTGACGAATGGCGCCCAACGGTGGCGGAGGAGCTCGGTATGCCTGTCAACCTTGTGGCTCGACATGCTGGAGGTGGGGGTGCGGGACTGGTCCCACGAAAAGCGTAGGTCACCAGTGAATCGGAGGTGTACATCTTCAATTTTGAGAGGGGCTGAGAGGCACAGAACAACAGAGCCCTTGAGAGTTTGGCCGGCTGACTCGTGCTCTGAACCGCGAAAGACGATAAAGTCGTTGTCGAGACTGGGAGTGTCACACAATGTCAGTCGGCGGGCCTTCGGCGATGGAATACGGAGACCGAGGGCGATCGCCCAATCTGTTGATCACATACCGAATGTCAAACAAGGTGACACTACTCCTGCCGCTGGCGACAGTTGAGAAAGACTTGAATGACGGCATCGTGATAGCTCTACTCTTTGTTGAAGAGTAAGAGCAAGAATGCGAATGGTAGGGGATCGTTAGGTAAGAGAGGGAAACCAAGCCCGCTGGGTGGGCAGCAGAAGGAGGGCGTGGTGTATTTATTGCTCTGGATCTTGGGAGTTCGTCCGGCCCAGGGCAAGCGTCAGAGCAGGAGGCAGGCAGGGGAGGCCAGGCGGGAATACCGCCGTTCTGTACCGTGACAAGACAAGATTGTCGGCTTCATAGTTCCAAAACCCACACCCTCACCCCCCCTCCTGCCACTGACGTGGTGGAGAAAGGTGTCGAGCCTAGCGTAAGGGCATCAATCAAAAGTTCAGGGTCGCTCGTTCCCGGCGAGTGACATACTGTGAGGGACAAGGAAGGGAGGAGCAATGCCCGAACTGAAGCAGACAGGGGTGGGTAGTGGCAGGTGCGAAGGGTGGGGTGGAAGGGGGGGGGGTCTATGTCGCGGAGTGGGGAGGGGGTGCACATTAGGTACAGCAGCTTGGCGGAGGGCTCAGGTACTGTACCTGCCCTACGGTCCTGGCTAGACTTCGCAGATAAAGAGTCATGAAAAGACAAAACCCCGATGCGATGCCGAACAAGAGCGGTTGGTCTGGTTGGCCCTTTCTTTTGTGCTGGTTTATGTCTGTTGGTGAGATGTGATGGCTGTGCTCATGAACAGGAGGACAAGCCGAAAACAGCGCATCATTGTGACAGAAGTATGGAGATCGGTCCCCCAAGCTGCAAGAACAAAAATGAGGTCTAAAAAAAAAAGGAGGAAAACAAGACGAGCAGAGGCAATCACTTCAGGCACAGGTACAAGTACATGTACACAGACGAATCGCGAGCGTGACATATGTAACTTGCCGCCATTCGGCTTCTCCTTTTTCCTGGATTTTATCCATCTGCGTACCCGCGGAGCGCGGATCCGCGCCCGCATGCTGTTGGCGCATCAATCGAATGAGACAGACGCTCCTCCGAATCGTACTCCAGCCCTCCTAAGTGCTACATATCGGTGCAGGGTTGACCTGATCATCTCATCACTTGGGCTGAGTCGACTGCGCATCTGAGGCGACTGAGCCTACCCGAATAATGATCAGGTACCCATGGAGAGCCGAGATATGCCAATGGTCCTTTTCAGAGCTTCCACGTCGAATAGGGACGAAATGAGCAACCAGCTGTGTGCCATACGGGCCAACAGACCAGTTGTTCACAAAGGCTGATACCTGTGGTATCGGCGCCACCATCAGAAACGCCCGTCCGGCTGCTGAGCCGACGGCAGCGCCGGCTTACTTTGGCTTCTTTGCTGTTTGTTCCTCTACACATCCGTGTGCAAGCATCAATCAACGAGGCACGTCCCAGGGGTGAGGGGCTGTGTGCGCCCTGCATGCCTCGTCAATTGGCCCTCCTGCAGGACTGGCCCTGAAGCGAATGGAACGAGGCGAGCCCAATCTATTCAGCTTATGTACACGCATATCACCAGCTGGCCTGACCCGTGACGCGGTCTTGAGGCGGTTCCATCCCTGGGGTGGGTAGTCAGCAATGCAGAGTTCGTGGGATCATACAGTATGAGTTGAATGGACTTCCATTCCATCGATCATCAAGTTTTGGCGCGATTCATCCGCCTCAGAATTAGCACCAGCGACGAGGGCGGGTACGGCGCCAGGGCCACTGTAACCACATCCCTCACCTTGAACAGGATGATCGCCAAGCATGCGCCTCAAGTGGAGTCGTCCAGCACCCACCGTGAAGGTGAGGTAGCTATCTTCAGAACCCGCTCTGCCCTGTTCTTCCACCAACCTTACTGCAGCATTGGCGATGGAGAGGGGCTGAAGCCTTCACGATGGCAGGTCTGGCTCGCAAGGCGCAGGCATCACGCCAGTCTGAAGTCTGGCGGATCAACTGAACGAACACCAACAAACGCACGTAGATGCCCACTTTACGTTTCGGTTTGCTCACGATTGTTGAAGAAACACGTCACATTTGTGAATAACTGGTCAGGACGAGAGGTTGCGCTGGCAAGCAAAAGCATCATTATCTTGGCTTCCTTTTCTGTCACGCAATTCAACCACCGCAAGCCACGAAACCCCTCCTTGCCCGACTTGTACACGCGGCCAACCACGACTGCCATGGAGCGCCTTAGTCCGAGGCCGAACTTCCAGCTGCCCGTTTCGCCATCGTGAGCGCCGCCCTGCGGGCCGCCATCCCCATCCACCCTCAAGAACCATTGGAAAGCTCCCCCAAATGCCCCCAAACCCCCACGGACGCATGCGTGTCCAGCCAGGCTACCCAGCATTGTGCGAAGAGAACACGCAACAGACGCTGTCCCTTGCGGCGCAACCCTTGAGTGGTCACGGCCATGTTGCTCGTGGGCCCGATTCGTGTCGAGTTGAGACATTATGGCAGCGCCATGATTGACGATGCATGCTTCTTTGAAACAGAAACGTGACCCGACGACCTACCGACCTACAGATCATGTAAGAACCCCCCCCCCCCCCCCACGTCTCGAAGGTCCACGGTCGTTGGCATCTGCAGCCCGATCAAGGGTGCATCGCGTGTGCGCGCTTGCCAAGCATCTGGGCCGTCCAGGCCAACCCACATCATCGGAGGATGAGATATCGAGGCGAGCCGGGAATAATGACATCTCGCCCGGTCGACGTTCTTACGATCCTCCGAACCTCGCCTGAATGTCAGCATGGAATCAACCCATGGGTTTCGCGATCGGACGTCCTTGTGCGAGACCCCTGGCGCACAGGAGAAAGAAAAAACACCAACAGCATCGGTGAAATGCACGCCGACCCCTCAGCCCCTCCAATCGCACCCTTTTGTCGCGAGCACATGCTTTCTCCAGTGACATGCGGATTTCACATCTCGCTCAGCGCTTCGCAATTGCAATCGGAACGACATCTCGTTGTGGCGGCCCAGCATTCAGAGGCTCAATCGTGTGGCGTCTTCATGGGAGGTGAGCCACAATCTCCGATGCAGCGCGATTCATACGCCAGGGCACTTGGACTTGGCTGATACGGCGGCACATGCAAATTCGTCGCAATGACGCCTTCGAATTCTGAAATTCTTGCACCGTCGCCCGTTCTAAAGGCTGCCTCAGCCATCCAAAACGGCATAGAAAGAGATAACGACACGCGCTAGCTGGCGATCCGAAAACCAGTCTCGCGCCGGACCCGGTATTTTCTTCCACACCCGGCTTATCTTCGCCTTCTTCATGCCTTTGCTCGTCGGTCCAGTTGAACCCCCCTGGAGCCATGTCCGGTTTGATCCAAGCTGCCTTCAAACCTTGCTCATGGTCAGTCTTGCTCCGGCAGTTTCGCCTCACCACACCTATTGCAGCCATGCCTCCCAATGCTGCAGCCACCCGAGGCCCACGGCACCTGCACAAGACGCAGCATCGAACTGGCTCTCCCCGAAGCCTTCTCGACGCACTCTAGAAGCTCAGAGCATAGTCGTGCCATCCCTGAGTCGATATCTTTCGAATACCGACAGCATTCCGGCGGTACGACGCTTGGCATGTAGGCACCGGTGGCGCCATGCGGCTGCAACCATGACGCGCCGAGGCTCCAGCATATCGCGAATTTTCACGGTCGTGCCAATGACGGTTTCCAAGACACCCAGCGCAGAGGTCCACGGGCGGGTCGAATGGGTCGCAGGTAATCAATGCATGTATGGATGGGTTCCTGACCCTCCCGACTGCCGCAGCTGCGACCCGCAGCAAGATGGTCTCCCTTGCCTGCGTCTGCCTTGAATAGAAAGAGCCTGGGCCTCAAGGGTGCGCGCGTTGGCGCGAGTCAAAGCTTGAGGCTCGGATCATCGATAGCTTTTGTGGCTTGAGCTCGTCGTCACAGCACAGCGGACTGCAACCTCATCTTGATGTGATCCACCTGAGATATATGTAACACCGCCTGGCCAGAGACTTCCCGCACAAGCTTGTCCCTAGGACATGACATAATCTGCCCAGAACACCAAGCCTTTTCAAGCGAGCTTTTGGCTCTCGCACCAGTAGGGTCGTCGTACGGATTCACATGTTTGTTGGTTGCCTGGCAAGTCTGGTCTCTTTTTTGTGAGAAATATCGGGTCCCCTTGACTCACCACCCCGCCACTACTCGTAAACACCTCAACAAGTTACCTCTCCCGTGCTTTGCGCGTACATCCACGTGTGCTTCTCAGCACAACCGCCCACGACGCCATCAACGCCTGCGCCCGCCCACCCCTTTTCGCTGTCCACACGGCACTTATCTGCAAGCTAAGCCGGTAACAAACCGCGCAAAAATTCCTTCCACTGTCTTTTCCTTCCTGTAACACATATAGCGGTGTGAAGCCAAGACTGCCCAAGTGGGACATATCCGGCAACCTTATCGTTTCGACGACCGATTTTTCTGATCGGGCCGTCGTTGTCAGGCTTGTCAGGCACCATGCGTGCACCCACCATGTACGCCTCACACCTCTAATAACACACACAGATGAGCCCACCCTTGTCACACCCTCAGCCCTGTCAGTGACGGTCCGAGAAGTGAGCTTTGCAGCAGGGCCCCTCAGCTTAGGAGGGTGGGTCACACCTGCCGGAGCCTAAGGAAAAGAGCCTCAAATCTTTCATCCTCGAACCCCCTCCCTGCCTACCTACCTAAGTTACTACCTCTCTATCTCCCAATGGATCGACACGACAAAGGGGTGGTACTATCGGACGCGGCGGGACACAAGCTGCCACTGAACCCCCACACCCCCCTTCGCATCCCTCCCTCCCTCCTCGTGGTTCCCGCTTTCGAAACGAGCGTCGTACCCACGTGGATCTCCCGGCCCAGTGCCGGGACCGTGGCAGGATAACCTTCCCTCACCCTGCTTGGGATTTTCGAGGATGCAGGACCCGGTTGTGTTCAAGGCGATACATCCTCCTGCCGCTGGCAAGGGGGCAGAGCAAAGCGTGTGGGTTCAACTCTTGCCCCTTGCCGCGTGGGTGGATTGCATGGCTAAAATACCAAGGGCGACAG